AGATCTGTGCACAAGAAGCCGCTAGCATAGCTCTGTTAGCATCAGAGGCGGCTGCTTCCGGTACTTCCGGCTCGCGTCAGGACGTTCTGGTGTGAAGTCCTCTGCGTCTGAAAACTAGAGAATGCGCGTCTGGGGAGCGGGGCTTCCGCGTTTCAGCGTTGGCGGTCTCAAAGCCCCATTAACCAGAGTGGGTGGGTCTAAAAGGTGAATGAGCACATGCACTGACATCTCACTCCCCTGGTGGGGGTGTACCCGGAAAGAGAATCACCCAATGCTTTTGTACAGCGTCCAAAAGTGGTCCAAAAGTGGTTCTTGGTCCAAAAGTGGTTCTTGGTCCTCTTGGTTCCAGATTCTGTTTGAGGAGAGAATGTATTTTTGGACCAGTCTAGTTTAGTCGCTGTGGACTTTTGAATGCACTCGTTAAATGAATGGGGCTAGTGCAGCTGACGCTCAAATGTGTTTTTTCACGTTTTCCTGAGGGAGGGGCTGCCTGCGGCCATTTTGAAAAAGCCACAGAAGGTAAAAGTAATCTCATATTAGTTTGAACGGAGTCTTTAATATTTACAGTCTTTGATCTCAGCCCGATTCTGGGTGAAACCAAATCATCTGGTCCTGAATATTAATTTTGATGTTTTTTAGGATGGGACAGTGCATGTTAACAAAAACGCCTCTCTGGATTTTAGCCTTGGAGTAATTTGCTCATACACCCAGAACAAAACAGACACGGGGAGAACATGCAAACTCCTGGAGTTGGATTCTGGAGTTGGATTCGAACCCATGTTAACTATTGATTAATGAATGTAACCGCAGACTCCACACTATTCTGTATCTTTGTTTGTGCCAAATCCTGGGAAACTCTCAGACCCAGAAATTAATTATTTTCTTCCCAATTTCTGTGATAAATGACTTTCTCCCTCGAACAAAAACATGTACAATAAATACTTTTGTTCTAAAATCAGGTTTTTTTTTAACTTAATTCTTGCTTCTTCCTCATGAGAAAGTCAGAGATTTTAGACTTATTTCCTGACTATGCTAAAGGTAGAGATTTGACACTTCTTTTTATGCTCTAGTGGGAGATTTGTTTTAATTTAATTCAGGGAAAGTCACACATAAGTTATTTCTTTGATATATCGGAGAATTGGATCAAACACAGTTATTTAAATACTATAATTGATAATTGATTTACTTTGAGACCAGTGAATAAATCAGAAGTGAGAACATTAGAACGACGGCTCGTTAGTTCATTCAGGATCTTCTGAGTCCTTCAGTGTTTAATTCTCTCTAAGAGAGTCTGAAAGTCTAAATCCTTTTTACAAAGTCATTTCTGGAGTGAAATCATCACAAATATCACTTTTAATACAGATACATCACAGATTATTAATGAAATTATCAAGAATAACAAAGAAAGCGCTGAAGGTCCTGCTCGGAACAGGGTCTTTCTGAGTTTGCATGTTCTCCCTGTGTCTGCTTAGGTTTTTCTCCGGGTGCTCCGGTTTCCCCTACCACTAAAAACGTGTACAATAGGTCTGAATGTATTGAGTGAATGGATGGTGTTTGGTCGGAGGCTTTGATGGACCAGTGTCCATGTGGCCGGATCAGTTCCTCTAGCGTCCACCATCTTGGAGCCACAGTCCAGAAACTTCTCCACGTTGAAGCTGGAGGTTATTGAAGAGTTGTGGGCGTCCTCTCAAACCTGGTCCTGAGGTTTGAGCCGGTCCTGCTTCTGGAACCAAGGACTGACTTATGTTCTGAGTTCCATCTTCTCTTCTCTCAAAGGAGTCGATGGGAGAAGGAGACAGAAGTTACATTATTTAAATCCTATAAGAAGTGTCTTAGATTAAGGAACGAGGTCATTTTTCATTGTCCTACATTAGTTTAGTTATTGTTTATCTTGTGCTGTGTGCTCCTAGTACTGTCTGTATGTGCTGCAACACTGACATTTCCTCTGACAAAAGGATCTCTTCTTCTTCATCTCTAATAAGCATGAATGTACATCACTACATCAGCCCCAAGTGCAGCCGTTTGGATCCAACCCAAATGACATGGGTTTAAGTCCCTGTTTCACACACCTCGGCCCCTCAGACGATCCTCAGGCCAAATGACATGGGTTTGAGTCCCTGTTTCACACACCTCGGCCCCTCAGACTCTCCTCAGGCCAAATGACATGGGTTTGAGTCCCTGTTTCACACACCTCGGCCCCTCAGACTCTCCTCAGGCCAAATGACATGGGTTTGAGTCCCTGTTTCACACACCTCGGCCCCTCAGACGCTCCTCAGGCCAAATGACATGGGTTTGAGTCCCTGTTTCACACACCTCGGCCCCTCAGACGCTCCTCAGGCCAAATGACATGGGTTTGAGTCCCTGTTTCACACACCTCGGCCCCTCAGACTCTCCTCAGGCCAAATGACATGGGTTTGAGTCCCTGTTTCACACACCTCGGCCCCTCAGACTCTCCTCAGGCCAAATGACATGGGTTTGAGTCCCTGTTTCACACACCTCGGCCCCTCAGACGCTCCTTAGGCCAAATTACATGGGTTTGAGTCTCTGTTTCACACACCTCGGCCCCTCAGACGCTCCTCAGGCCAAATGACATGGGTTTGAGTCCCTGTTTCACACCCCTCGGCCCCTCAGACGCTCCTCAGGCCAAATGACATGGGTTTGAGTCCCTGTTTCACACACCTCGGCCCCTCAGACTCTCCTCAGGCCAAATGACATGGGTTTGAGTCCCTGTTTCACACACCTCGGCCCCTCAGACTCTCCTTAGGCCAAATGACATGGGTTTGAGTCCCTGTTTCACACACCTCGGCCCCTCAGACTCTCCTCAGGCCAAATGACATGGGTTTGAGTCCCTGTTTCACACACCTCGGTCCCTCAGACGCTCCTTAGGCCAAATGACATGGGTTTGAGTCCCTGTTTCACACACCTCGGCCCCTCAGACTCTCCTTAGGCCAAATGACATGGGTTTGAGTCCCTGTTTCACACACCTCGGCCCCTCAGACTCTCCTTAGGCCAAATGACATGGGTTTGAGTCCCTGTTTCACACACCTCGGTCCCTCAGACGCTCCTTAGGCCAAATGACATGGGTTTGAGTCCCTGTTTCACACACCTCGGTCCCTCAGACGCTCCTTAGGCCAAATGACATGGGTTTGAGTCTCTGTTTTACACATCTCGGTCCCTCAGACTCTCCTTAGGCCAAATGATCTGCAGTTCAGAACCAAAGTGGGTTTAGCGAGTGTTCACGGCCCGCTCTGAGCTGTCGATGCTGTAACTAAGATGAAAGGGCTGTTTAGGGGAAATACAATAAAGACATTTATGCTGCGGGCGAACGGCATGAGGTCGATGCCCACATCCTGTTCCTGTAAATCACTAAAACTACTAGGAAAAACAAACTGAGGGTTATGAGATTAGTCATTTCTCAGAATATATTATTATTATTATTATCATTTTCAAGTTGTTACTTTAAAATTTTTTTCATTGTTATTTTTATTGTGGAATACTTTGCAAGCTACGGTGACAACACAATTTACCTAAGTGCCAAAGTCCCTAAGTCTAGGTCTCAATCAATCAATCCTTTATTATCTCACAGATGGAGAAATTCAGTTCGGTGAATAAACATCAAGGCTGCGGACTCTATTTACATATTTCCGCGCTCCTTGTGACAGTTATTCAACAGCAGAGAGAAAAACAAACATATATTTCAACAGACATTATATAGAAACAGTACATGTGGAAAGTATGCGGATCTTTTTAAAGGGACATTGTCACTCTGACTTAGTCTAAGTCTGAGCCTGAGCCTGAGCCTGAGCCTGAGCCTGAGCCTGAGTCTGAGTCTGAGTCTGAGTCTGAGCCTGAGCCTGAGCCTGAGCCTGAGCCTGAGCCTGAGTCTGAGCCTGAGCCTGAGTCTGAGCCTGAGTCTGAGCCTGAGCCTGAGTCTGAGTCTGAGTCTGAGCCTGAGCCTGAGCGTTAGCCTGAGCCTGAGCCTGAGCCTGAGCCTGAGTCTAAGATTAGCAGAGTTTGGCAGAATATTGTGTATCTACAGCCTCAGTCCTCATTCTACAGTCTGACTCCTGGATCTACAGCTCGTCCGTGGGAGCGGATCCCTTTCTCAAACCATGGGTCTCCCCGAGGTTTCTCACTTTTTCCCACTGGGTTTAGACTTTTTCCTCTGATGCAGGAGTCTGTTGGAGACAGTTAGTGTCAGACTAGAAGGACTGTGATGATCCAGGACACTTTAACATTCTACATGTATGACATTTATCAACATGTGTTCTATATTCTTCATGTGTTTTAACTGTTGATTCTTGGATCTGTGTTGGTGATTTCAATGGTTTTGTTAAGTCTCTGAGATGATGCTGTTGTGATTTAGGGCTATACAAGAATACATTGTATTGTGTTGTATCCCTGGTCTGACCTCGATCCGTCTAAATCACTAAGTACTAATTACATACATACTTTTAAGGAGACGTACAGGCACTTATGAAAACATGGGGTTAGTGTATGTTTGTGTGACATTAGTATGACATTACATTATAGTCTATCACTGTGAAAGATGTGCCTCAGCAGCTAAATAACAGTTGGGATGGAACCCTCAGTGTGCACATACGGGACTCATAAAACCAAGCTCGTTATTCTCAAGTTTTGCTTGGACATATTGTTGTGCTTGTGCTGTTTACTCCGCATTGAGCTTGACTGTGTTGTTGCTGGCAGGACAAAAACAAAGCAGCTTTTAAATAACCCCGTCTTGTGTTTGAAGTGCAAATGCGAATGTAAATACACAGCTCCGAGATCCCGGGCTCCTGACAGACGGCGAGTTTCTGACGTGTCATCAACGCGATTCGTCTTTGCAAGCTCTTCTCTGGTGTGATTTCTTTCTGCTTTGACGCAAAAGACAGAGCAGAGAGTGTAGCCCGAGGCGCAGCAATAGGCTCTTGTTTCAAAGGTTAAGCTCCGTGCTCGTCCTCACAGAAAAAGTGCCGGCCCAGTTGTAGAACATCTGGTACATGTTGGCCCGACTGATGGTGCGTGCGGCTCATCAGGCTGGATATGCTGAAGCGGGAAAGTGTGGAGGCTGTTTTATCCACAAAGTGCTTTTTACACTAATGTGGCCAACTTTGTGGTGTTTTGTCAGCAGCTTTTGTCCTCGGACCGGTCTGAATGTGCAGTGAATGAATCGTACACTGTGGCAAAGCAGCTTCATTATCAGTTTATGGTTTTTCATGGATTCAATCAGGATCAAGATAAAGATTGTGTTAGAATGATTTGTGTTTGTATGACTCTATCACAGCTGTGTTGTTATTAAAAAGCCAATAACGTGATAATTCTACACTGAAAAGGCGGTGACGGGGAGGAGGAGGGTTGCAGCACGGTGGCTTTGGCATTCTCGCTTCTAAGGAAAAACCTCTTTTCAAATCCCGATTCGGCAGTTTAGTCGAGTAAGTTTAGTAGATCCTTTATTCGTCCCACAGCGGGGAAATGTCAGTGTTGCATCACAAGCTACAGAACAGCAGGAATGAGGAGCACACAGCACAAGATAAGTGAATAATAACTCAGATAAAACAAAATTGTGTTTTTATTTTATTTTATTTTTATTTATGGTTTTAATCTGTTTTATATATTTTTATTCTTTTATACTTGGTGAAGCTAAGGATAAGTTGTTATTTATTTTATACTTTTTTGTGCAGCACTTTGGAAACGTAACTGTTGTTTAAATGTGCTATATAAATAAAGTGGATTGGATTGGATTGGAAAATCCTCCGGGTGCTCCAGTTTCTCCAACCACTAAAAACATGCACAACAGGTAAAGTGAGAGTTGTGCTGCTCTGTCTCTCCCCCCTCCCTTTCTGTTTCTGTGCAGAGCTTGTGGTGATGTGGGCGTGGCTGATGTGGGCGTGGCTGATGTGGGTGTGGCTGATGTGGGTGTGGCTGATGTGGGCGTGGCTGATGTGGGCGTGGCTGGTGTGGGCGTGGCTGGATGGTGCAGCACACACCTGCAGCCAATCTGCACCTGGCCAGATCCTTGTTTTCTGTACTTCCTCGTCCCCAGCTTGTAATAATACGTTTTGGATTCGGCCTGTAAATACAACATCTGGAGATGGTTCTGCTGTTACCACGGCGACCACTGCTCCTGACTCAAGCCTTAGCGGTATCGGGGTCAAATGCAGAGGAGGACATTTCCAACGGGGATAAATAATGTGCACATTTACATTTATTTTCGACAGGAGCTTATCGCTGCAGGACTGAGAGCATGTTTCCACACACAACAAATGACCATGAGCTCCTCTGACCGTCAACCACTGTCTTTGTGTGAAGCTCAAGGAGGAAGAAGCGGCTTTCTCCCATGATGCTCCCTGTAAACAGAAAACCTAATGTTTTTAATGGAGCTACAACACTTCAGGTCATTTGAGAGTAAACTAAAGTCTCTCTTGTTTGGACTTTATCTTAAGGCATAAGAAAGTCCAGATATAGATGTGCCCCCACTCTATAAAATAATGTCTATAATAATAATCTTTCTATATACAGTAAATATAGATCGTGCAGTCGGGAGTTACCCTGGAGCTTGAGCACTGGTTACAGAAGATCCCAGTATTTCAGATTAAAACATTTTCAAAACATCAGTGACAGATTCCAGAGTGTTTCGTGTCTGTAGGAACCAGAAAACTACTTAAAGGAGAATTATGTAAGATTTTCACATCAGTCATCATTAAAGGGCCATAATCTGTCATCATTACAGGGCCCTAATCTGTCATAATTAAAGGGCCCTAATCTGTCATCATTACAGGGCCCTAATCTGTCATAATTAAAGGGCCCTAATCTGTCGTCATGAAAGGGCCCTAATCTGTCATCATGAAAGGGCCCTAATCTGTCGACATGAAAGGGCCCTAATCTGTCATCATTAAAGGGCCCTAATCTGTCATCATTAAAGGGCCCTAATCTGTCATCATTACAGGGCCCTAATCTGTCATAATTAAAGGGCCCTAATCTGTCGTCATGAAAGGGCCCTAATCTGTCATCATGAAAGGGCCCTAATCTGTCGACATGAAAGGGCCCTAATCTGTCATCATTAAAGGGCCCTAATCTGTCATCATTAAAGGGCCCTAATCTGTCATAATTAAAGGGCCCTAATCTGTCGTCATGAAAGGGCCCTAATCTGTCATCATGAAAGGGCCCTAATCTGTCGACATGAAAGGGCCCTAATCTGTCATCATGAAAGGGCCCTAATCTGTCGACATGAAAGGGCCCTAATCTGTCATAATGAAAGGGCTCTAATCTGTCATCATTAAAGGGCCCTAATCTGTCATCATTAAAGGGCCCTAATCTGTCATTATTAAAGGGCCCTAATCTGTCATCATTAAAGGGCCCTAATCTGTCGTCATTAAAGGGCCCTAATCTGTCATAATAATAAACTGTTCTTTTCCAATCCTTCTTTAACTGATACCAATAGTTCAGAGATATTTGAATTTCTAAATTACTTTTCCAGCCTCTAAATCTTGTTATTGTTTTCATTTCGAAGTCCCGCCCCCCACCGTTTCACCAATCAGAAAGTCTGTGATCCGGGCGCCAGAACTCACCGCGTGGAGCTAATCTCACTGGTAAAATACCATGTGGCACAGAACTAAAAAAGGTCTCGTTATGATTCTCAAATCATTAACGACAAAACAAGGAATAAAACCAGGATTTCTATCTTTGTGAAAAAGGTGTTGGTTATAGATTTGTTGTTGACAAACTCTTGTCTATTCAGCTGTTATGGTCCCAGCTGGATTCGTCTGCATATCTGGCAACCTGAGTCAGGGAGAGTGGGAGAGGCTGCAGTACCACCAGGAGGATGGGGGGAGGCAGGTGGGGGAGGTAGATCTGGGTGGGGGGAGGCAGGTGATGGTGGGGGGAGGCAGGTGATGGTGGGGGGAGGCAGGTGATGGTGGGGGGAGGCAGGTGAGGGTGGGGGAGGCAGGTGATGGTGGGGGGAGGCAGGTGATGGTGGGGGGAGGCAGGTGATGGTGGGGGGAGGCAGGTGATGGTGGGGGGAGGCAGGTGATGGTGGGGGGAGGCAGGTGAGGGTGGGGGGAGGCAGGTGAGGGTGGGGGGAGGCAGGTGATGGTGGGGGGGAGGCAGGTGATGGTGGGGGGAGGCAGGTGAGGGTGGGGGGAGGCAGGTGAGGGTGGGGGGAGGCAGGTGATGGTGGGGGGGGCAGGCAGGAGGGGTGGGGGCCGGCGGGTCTGGGTGGGGGGAGGTAAGTCTGGGTGTTGTTTGTGAATGACTGTGAACGTTTTTGTTATAAAAGGAATCCTGTGATTTTCAGAAAGTAACTGTAATCTAACTAATGGAATACAGTTACTCATAAAGAGTACTCTGAATACTTTCAGCGACTCATGTGTTTTGTTTCTGTTTGACACATTTCACAAACATCGGTCACAGTTTGTACGTTTCTTATTCAGGATCAAAGCTGCTCTTTTCAAACTCGCCCTGTGTCCCGGACCCTGTTGTGCTGAATGAAAGGCCCTAAAGGTCATCAGCCGCTGGAGTCTGCCCCCCCCTGAGCACCCCCCACCCCCCACAGCCCACCCCCCCACACACACACCCCCCATGGCCCCTGTGCACCGCCTCACACATCTTTTCCACTCCACTTTTTTTATATAGCACATTTTATAGAAGTTTCCAAAGTGCTGCACAGAGAGAAATGTGACATTTGAATATACAGGTTGCCAGATATGCAGACGAATATGTAATTTGTCTGCATATCTGCCAACCATAGATAATCACAGAACATTAAAAAGAGAATCCTTCAGTTGTTGCAGAAACAGAACTTTTCTTTTTACCTGCATTATCAGAGAAGAAGCCTGTCTCACATTTTCAGGAAGATTGTTCCAGATTTAAGCATGATGTTTAGATGTGTATTTGTGCACAAATATTATAATGTCTCGTAAGTAAGTTAAGTTATTTATATAGCGCCTTTCTCAAACCAGAGTCAAAGCAGTTTACACTTGTTACATCTGTCTGTCACTCCACACAGAGATGGGAGGGGCCAGTACAGGAGGCACAGACCTATTGTACATGTTTTTAGTGGTAGGGGAAACCGGAGCACCTGGAGGAAACCAACACAGACACGGGGAGAACATGCAAACCCCACTCAGAATCCGACCGGGATTCAAACCCAGCACCTTCTTGCTGAGAAGCGGGAGTGCCCGTCTGCCCCCTTTTGTGGACTATATTTCAGTAAAACATTACTTTGTTAATATACTTATGATAATACTTATAATTATATATAATTTACTTATTTTTACAGTTTGTAGAATGTTTTGGAGCAGCCTGAGCTCTGGAGGCTGTGACCGCAGTGACATTTGTGCAGGACTTGGGATAAAACCTCAGCAGCAGATTTGTGTTAGATTTATTATGTAGAAATATGAACTCCTCGAAGCAAATTGGATCAAAGAAAAGCCCACGGAACCTGCTCTGTGTGAACACTGTAAAAAGAAAATATCTGTTCTCTAAACATGGTGTGCTTTGGGTGACCTTGGCCTGTGAAATGTGCCATATAAATAAACATTACTTACTTAGCGGCGACATGGAGTTCACATAAACAAAGAAATAACATGAGGCAGAAAACAGCGGAATGTTTAAAGCTATCGTGCTCAGAGTTATGCTAAAGGCTCCATATTATATTTATCATCTGTCAAGTCTGGGTGGGGGTGTACCCGGAAAGAGAATTACCCAATGCTTTTGTATGGTGTCTTCTTTCCTCTCGAAAATGTCTTTACAGCATGGTCCAAAAGTGGTTCTTGGTCCAAAAGTGATTCTTGGTCCAAAAGTGGTTCTTAGTCCAAAAGTGGCTCTTGGTCCAAAAGAGTTCTTAGTCCAAAAGTGGCTCTTGGTCCAAAAGTGGTTCTTGGTCCAAAAGTGGTTCTTAGTCCAAAAGTGGCTCGTGATCCAAAAGTGGTTCTTAGTCCAAAAGTGGCTCTTGGTCCAAAAGTGGTTCTTAGTCCAAAAGTGGCTCTTGGTCCAAAAGTGGTTCTTGGTCCAAAAGTGGTTCTTAGTCCAAAAGTGGCTCTTGGTCCAAAAGTGGTTCTTGGTCCAAAAGTGGTTCTTGGTCCAAAAGTGGTTCTTGGTCCTCTTGGTTCCAGATGCTGTCTGAGGGGAGTATATGTTTTTGGACCAGTCTAGTTTAGTCGCTCTGGACTTTTGAATGCACTCGTTAAATGAATGGGGCTAATGCAGCTAACGCACAAATGTGTTTTTTCACATTTTCCCTGCGGCCATTTTGAAAAAGCCACAGAAGGAAAAAGTGGTGAACATTAGTTTAGGTGGGCGTGACTAATTCTGTTAATAGATGAACAGGAGGATAGTTGAAGAGTCCTTCTCATCAGGACCCTACGACAAGTTTAAAACAAATCGTGGGAATCATTGTTTCTAATGCACTAAAACAGTAGAAATGATCGCCATCTGCTGGTCGTTTAAGCAGTGCACCCTTAAAATAACACGTGACTGTTTAAAATCAACAAATAAAGGAGAGATTTTTCATGTAAATATCTATGAAGGTTTATGAATCAACCTTAGTCTTGCCACACATTCTGACACATCCGTCACTGTGCTGTTAGTGGTATGGAGGAGGATGTTCTACCACCAGGTGGATCATCAAGACTATTGGTCCTCTTAACTGTCAATCATTCTGGTTATTCGTGCTCGTCCAATCAGACCAGACAGCTTGGTTCAAAAAGTGGGCGGATCTGTCCTAACATTTGGGTAAATCCTCCCCTGTACCTGTAATCTATCTGTAACGTTGCAACAGCAGAGGATCTCCATGTCTCTTTGACTCATTCTATGTTTTAACTATAAAGGGTCAACGAGAGGAGATGAAATGATGAATAATATAATATCTGTTATACCCTGCCTCCATTATACATGACCCTCCATAAAGCAACATAAAGCACCGGTCACTCTTCAGACCACCATCTATATTTGACGAAAGGCCTTGTGTTCCTTCTGATGACTTATAAAAGATTCCTTTTTGTTTTCCTCTACACTTTTTAATCTGGGTTTTAAGTGCCTCATCTATCTTTCATGCAGCTGCTCTCTGGCTCTTTTGTGCGAGGGCTTTGATGTTTGCCTGCACTTTCCTCTACCTGGAGTCAATGTATTTTTCATATTGCTTTAGACAAGTGCTTCCCCGTCCATCTGAAGGAGCCCTGGCTAAACTATGAGTGTATTAGAATCAGAGAATGTAGCCGGAGCATGAAATGGAGAGAATACTGTAGAAGGAATGAAGGAGGTTTTAATTGTTGCTTGACTTTAAAAGATCAAGCGGTTTGTTTTTCTGCTCTTGCAATGTAGCTTTGGGACTTTGATAATGATAATCAGAGGAAATGGTTACGAAAGATGGATAGATATTTATATTTAGATAGATAGATAGATATTTATATTCAGATAGATAGATAGAAATATTCAGATAGATAGATGATGGATAGATATTATACCCTGTGTGTGTTTAAAAATATAACAATAATAATGCATTGGTTTTTTATAGCGCCGATGTCACGTGTGGTTTATAAAAAGGACAGGATGAGGTGATTCATGTCGATGAGCACCAAGAGTTTCTTTTACCGCACTGTGCTTTGGGACATTCTTCATCAGAGAATGACAGAGAGTGATCAAATCACATCAAATCCATTAAAACATTGATGCTATAGATATTAAAGCGTTTTAATGAGAGTGAAAAGTCTGATACGTTTTGAGCGTGGATTTAAAAAGGCCACAATCAGCACTGGCACATCAGCGGGGAGCGTGTTCCAGAGTCTGGGTCCAGAGTCTGGGTCCAGGACATGGTCCGGTCTCCCCAGTGCCTTTGACCTGGACTTTGAGTTCCTGTGGGGGCATCATTAATGAAAAGCATGTGCTCCTTACAGCGCTCTTCTGCCTCGTCATAAAACACATTTATAGTCCCCCGATGCCCACATTCCTTTTCCACACTTTTCATTGCGGTGACAAAATGCCCTCTTGTCGCCGCACACATTACTCTGCTGCTGACAGCTGCGGCGAGCAGCGGCGGTGGAACAGCAACGGTGAGCGGGAACGTTAGGGTAAAAAGCCAGTCCTCAAAGTCATCACGGCGTCCGTAGATTACAGACTATCCGGGCACTCAGTCTTGTTGGCAGCAGGCGACACGGTGCCACAGGCCGCATGCTGATCAGCACGAGACATGGGGACGGGAGGATGAGGAGGATGAGGAGGATGAAGAGGATGAGGAGGATGAAGAGGATGAGGAAAAGGAGGATGAAGAGGATGAAGAGGATGAAGAGGATGAGGAGGATGAAGAGGATGAAGAGGATGAGGAGGATGAGGAGGATGAGGAGGATGAGGAGGGTGAGGAGGATGAGGAGGAAGAGGAGGGTGAGGAGGATGAGGAGCATGAGGAGGAAGAGGAGGGTGAGGAGGGTGAGGAGGATGAGGAGGGTGAGGAGGATGAGGAGGATGAGGAGGATGAGGAGGAAGAGGAGGATGAGGAGGAAGAGGAGGATGAGGAGGATGGGGAGGATGAGGAGGGTGAGGAGGATGAGGAGCATTAGGAGGAAGAGGAGGGTGAGGAGGATGAGGAGGATGAGGAGGATGAGGAGGAAGAGGAGGGTGAGGAGGATGAGGAGCATGAGGAGGAAGAGGAGGGTGAGGAGGGTGAGCAGGGTGAGGAGGATGAGGAGGATGAGGAGGAAGAGGAGGATGAGGAGGAAGAGGAGGATGAGGAGGATGGGGAGGATGAGGAGGGTGAGGAGGGTGAGGAGGATGAGGAGGGTGAGGAGGATGAGGAGGATGGGGAGGATGAGGAGGGTGAGGAGGATGAGGAGGGTGAGGAGGATGAGGAGGGTGAGGAGGATGAGGAGGAAGAGGAGGGTGAGGAGGGTGAGGAGGATGAGGAGGGTGAGGAGGATGAGGAGGATGAGGAGGATGAGGAGGAAGAGGAGGATGAGGAGGATGGGGGGGATGAGGAGGGTGAGGAGGGTGAGGAGGATGAGGAGGATGAGGAGGGTGAGGAGGGTGAGGAGGATGAGGAGGGTGAGGAGGATGAGGAGGATGAGGAGGATGAGGAGGAAGAGGAGGATGAGGAGGATGAGGAGGATGGGGAGGATGAGGAGGGTGAGGAGGGTGAGGAGGATGAGGAGGATGGGGAGGATGAGGAGGGTGAGGAGGATGAGGAGGGTGAGGAGGATGAGGAGGGTGAGGAGGATGAGGAGGAAGAGGAGGGTGAGGAGGATGAGGAGGGTGAGGAGGATGAGGAGGATGAGGAGGATGAGGAGGAAGAGGAGGATGAGGAGGAAGAGGAGGATGAGGAGGATGGGGAGGATGAGGAGGATGAGGAGGGTGAGGAGGAAGAGGAGGGTGAGGAGGGTGAGGAGGATGAGGAGGATGAGGAGGATGAGGAGGAAGAGGAGGATGAGGAGGAAGAGGAGGATGAGGAGGATGGGGAGGATGAGGAGGGTGAGGAGGATGAGGAGGGTGAGGAGGATGAGGAGGGTGAGGAGGATGAGGAGGATGAGGAGGGTGAGGAGGATGAGGAGGGTGAGGAGGATGGGGAGGATGAGGAGGATGAGGAGGGTGAGGAGGAAGAGGAGGGTGAGGAGGGTGAGGAGGATGAGGAGGATAAGGAGGATGAGGAGGGTGAGGAGGATGGGGAGGATGAGGAGGATGAGGAGGGTGAGGAGGAAGAGGAGGGTGAGGAGGGTGAGGAGGGTGAGGAGGATGAGGAGGATGAGGAGGAAGAGGAGGAAGAGGAGGATGAGGAGGAAGAGGAGGATGAGGAGGATGGGGAGGATGAGGAGGGTGAGGAGGATGAGGAGGGTGAGGAGGATGAGGAGGGTGAGGAGGATGAGGAGGATGAGGAGGGTGAGGAGGGTGAGGAGGATGAGGAGGGTGAGGAGGATGAGGAGGATGAGGAGGGTGAGGAGGATGAGGAGGGTGAGGAGGATGGAGGAGGATGGGGAGGATGAGGAGGATGAGGAGGGTGAGGAGGATGAGGAGGGTGAGGAGGATGAGGAGGGTGAGGAGGATGAGGAGGGTGAGGAGGATGAGGAGGAAGAGGAGGATGAGGAGGATGGGGAGGATGAGGAGGGTGAGGAGGGTGAGGAGGATGAGGAGGGTGAGGAGGATGAGGAGGATGGGGAGGATGAGGAGGATGAGGAGGGTGAGGAGGAGGATGAGGAGGGTGAGGAGGATGAGGAGGGTGAGGAGGATGAGGAGGATGAGGAGGATGGGGAGGATGAGGAGGGTGAGGAGGATGAGGAGCATGAGGAGGAAGAGGAGGGTGAGGAGGATGAGGAGGGTGAGGAGGATGAGGAGGGTGAGGAGGATGAGGAGGGTGAGGAGGATGAGGAGGATGAGGAGGATGAGGAGGAAGAGGAGGATGGGGAGGATGAGGAGGGTGAGGAGGATGAGGAGGGTGAGGAGGGTGAGGAGGATGAGGAGGATGAGGAGGAAGAGGAGGGTGAGGAGGATTAGGAGGAAGAGGAGGATGAAGAGGATGAGGAGCATGAGGAGGAAGAGGAGGGTGAGGAGGATGAGGAGGATGAGGAGGGTGAGGAGGATGAGGAGGGTGAGGAGGATGAGGAGGATGAGGAGGATGAGGAGGATGAGGAGGGTGAGGAGGATGAGGAGGAAGAGGAGGATGAGGAGGATGGGGAGGATGGGGAGGATGAGGAGGGTGAGGAGGATGAGGAGCATGAGGAGGAAGAGGAGGGTGAGGAGGATGAGGAGGATGAGGAGGATGAGGAGGGTGAGGAGGATGAGGAGCATGAGGAGGAAGAGGAGGGTGAGGAGGGTGAGGAGGATGAGGAGGGTGAGGAGGATGAGGAGGATGAGGAGGAAGAGGAGGATGAGGAAGAAGAGGAGGATGAGGAGGATGAGGAGGGTGAGGAGGATGAGGAGGATGAGGAGGATGAGGAGGATGAGGAGGAAGAGGAGGGTGAGGAGGATGAGGAGGATGAGGAGGATGAGGAGGATGAGGAGGAAGAGGAGGATGAGGAGGATGAGGAGGAAGAGGAGGGTGAGGAGGATGAGGAGGATGAGGAGGATGAGGAGGATGAGGAGGATGAGGAGGAAGAGGAGGTGGAGGAGGGTGAGGAGGATGAGGAGGGTGAGGAGGATGAGGAGGGTGAGGAGGGTGAGGAGGGTGAGGAGGATGAGGAGGAAGAGGAGGATGAGGAGGATGAGGAGGATGAGGAGTAAGAGGAGGATGACGAGGATGAGGAGGAAGAGGAGGATGAGGAGGATGAGGGAGGATGAGGAGTAAGGGAGGATGAGGAGGATGAGGAGGGTGAGGAGGATGAGGAGGATGAGGAGGATGAGGAGTAAGAGGAGGATGAGGAGGATGAGGAGTAAGAGGAGGATGAGGAGGATGAGGAGGAAGAGGAGGATGAGGAGGAAGAGGAGGATGAGGAGGATGGGGAGGATGAGGAGGGTGAGGAGGGTGAGGAGGATGAGGAAGGTGAGGAGGATGAGGAGGATGAGGACGATGGGGAGGAAGAGGAGGATGAAGAGGATAAGGAGGATGAGGAGGAGGAGGAGGATGAGGAGTATGAGGAGGATGAGGAGGATGAGGAGGGTGAGGAGGGTGAGGAGGATGAGGAGGATGGGGAGGAAGAGGAGGATGAAGAGGATAAGGAGGATGAGGAGGAGGAGGAGGATGAGGAGTATGAGGAGGATGAGGAGGGTGAGGAGGATGAGGAGGATGAGGAGGATGGGGAGGAAGAGGAGGATGAAGAGGATAAGGAGGATGAGGAGGAGGAGGAGGATGAGGAGTATGAGGAGTTTGAGGAGGATGAGGAGGATGAGGAGGGTGAGGAGGGTGAGGAGGATGAGGAGGATGGGGAGGAAGAGGAGGATGAAGAGGATAAGGAGGATGAGGAGTATGAGGAGGATGAGGAGGGTGAGGAGGATGAGGAGGATGAGGAGGATGGGGAGGAAGAGGAGGATGAAGAGGATAAGGAGGATGAGGAGGAGGAGGAGGAGTATGAGGAGTATGAGGAGGATGAGGAGGATGAGGAGGAAGAGGAGGGTGAGGAGGGTGAGGAGGATGAGGAGGATGGGGAGGAAGAGGAGGATGAAGAGGATAAGGAGGATGAGGAGGAGGAGGAGGATGAGGAGTATGAGGAGGATGAGGAGGGTGAGGAGGATGAGGAGGATGAGGAGGATGGGGAGGAAGAGGAGGATGAAGAGGATAAGGAGGATGAGGAGGAGGAGGAGGATGAGGAGTATGAGGAGTATGAGGAGGATGAGGAGGATGAGGAGGATGAGGAGTATGAGGAGGAAGAAGAGGATGAGGAGGGGATGGGAGGGACTGGGGACGGGGAGGAGGAGGATGAGGAGGATGAGGAGTAAGAGGAGGATGAAGAGGATGAGGAGGATGAGGAGGATGAGGAGGGTGAGGAGGGTGAGGAGCATGAGGAGTAAGAGGAGGATGAGGAGGCACTGGGAGGGACTGGAGGGGGGGCATGGGGACGGGGAGGGGGGAGTCACCTGATCCAGGAGCTGCTGCAGAAGGCGCCACAGTCTGACACGGAGCAGACTTCATCATCTCTGTCTCTGTTGCTGTGAGTGTTTGTGGAATGACAGTTTGTGAATTCTGTGAAATGTCAAAGGTAGTTCCTGCGCAGACACGTGTTTATTTATACACTTTTCTACGTCTGAAGGAACAACGTTTGGAAATAAAAACAAACTGATCAGTCTGTGGTGTTTATTAGAGAGATAACTGCTTAAAATGTAAAAAATATATATTATTATCCACCCATCCACACATCTTCCTCTCCTTTATCCATTTCTGGGTCGTTCACAGAGCACCAGCCCCTGATCCCCCTGCTCCTCCTGCTCCTCACTGCTCCTCCTGCTCCTCCTGCTCCTCCTGCTCCTCACTGATCCTCCTCATCCTCCTGGTCCTCACTGATCCCCCTGCTCCTCCTGCTCCTCCTGCTCCTCACTGATCCTCCTCATCCTCCTGCTCCTCCTGCTCCACTCTGATCCTCCTGCTCCTCACTGATCCTCCTGGTCCTCCTGCTCCTCCTGGTCCTCACTGATCCTCCTCATCCTCCTGCTCCTCCTGCTCCACTCTGATCCTCCTGCTCCTCACTGCTCCTCCTGCTCCTCTGGGTCCTCCTGGTCCTCACTGAGTCCACAGGAGGCTGCTAAACATTTTCATTACACCATCACCACAGGTCGCAGAACTAGCACAGACAGAAGTAAAAAAAACCTTCTAAGTTTACAGGAAATGACATCACGTCTCTCTGTGCATAAAACCCACTGGACTAAGTTCATCCAGAGCCATGAAACTTCTGTATTGTTTCATCCCAAAAGTAGCTAAAAGGAGGAGTACCTTAAAGGAGCTTCATATCTTTGGAAAACCTCTTCATCCTGGACTTCCACAGAGTTCAGGAGTTTTCGTGCCGACACAGTCCTGGTGTTTCCTCGGGCCCTGAAGGGTCTGAAAACCAGGTGAGAGGGAGACAAAGCCCAGTCTGAACCTGGTCTAGAGCAGCCGGGCCTCGACCCTGACGCTGCGGGTCCACCTCCGGTCAGCACCTGCAGAAGGATCGGGGTCAGGTCCAGTCAAAGAAGGAGCTGTGTGAAAAGTGTAGTGTAAAAGGCATATTGTGTGTAAAAAATATCCAACGACTATGTGTGTTTCAGAACCTAGAGTCATGGTGTGGATTTTATTTTTGTACTTTGGTTTTATTTTGACATCAGTTTGGTTTCAGTTGTACTTCCTGTCTTGTTCCTCTGTGTTGATTGTTCTGCCCCGCCCTGATGTGTTTCACCTGTGTCTATATGTACCTGTGTCTATATGTACCTGTGTCTATATGTACCTGTGTCTATATGTACCTGTGTCTATATGTACCTGTGTCTATATGTACCTGTGTCTATATGTACCTGTGTCTATATGTACCTGTGTCTATATGTACCTGTGTCTATATGTACCTGTGCTCCTCTCCTCTTGTTGCTGGTCCATTGTCTTGTCTTTGCTTGTTCTTGTCTTTGTTCCTGGTCTCGTTTGTAGGTTTCCGGATGTTTTGTTACCTTGGACTTTTGTTTTTTCATAATTAAATCATTTATATTTTTCATTCCTGCATTTTGAGTCCTCCATCATCTCACCTCATGACACCTAGTCTCGTCACAAGGTTGCACACTGATTGGCTGAGCAAGAAGAAGAGTGTACAGTCATAAACACACATCACATCAAGGCATGTAGTGTGCTGATGGGCAAAGTGGGTAAAGTGTCTTGCCCAAGAGCTCGAACGCAAGACCAATGCTCTACCAACTGAGCCACTGTCTTCCATTACTTACATTTCCATCAGAATAAAATGCTACAAATGTGACTCAGGATATAAAATAAAAATTAACCTTAGAGCCTGTGAGAGTCAAATGCATTTCCATCTCCAAAAAGTCTCAAGTCTTCATTCATAAATTCCAAATCTTTACATAATCCGTCCACATTTGGCGACATGCATAAAATTGTCAGAGCATTTCACAAAAACCACATTCTCTTCCGAGTCTCCTTCAATGTCCTTCTCTTCCCGGTCTTCCTCTTTAAACAGCCATTGTGTCCCTTCCGAACCTGGCTCTCCGTGTCCCAATCCCAAAAGGATTAACATACATTACAGATTTCACACTGACTTCATAATAAAAGAGTGTGTTTGGGACGTTGCTGTGGGACGGGATGGCGGCGTCTCCCCTCCCCAAGGTCAGACACACGTGAACAGCCCACTTTCATTCACCGCGGGGAGCGCCAGGACGGTTGGCGGGCTGACGGTTCTGCATTGTGGTGCACTCCAGGTGTTGCTTTTAGATTAGACGGTGCGTTCATTGAAGGCCTGTAATCAGGTTAGCTCAATGGGCAGACGCTGCTCCGCCCTCTTCATGAAATTAGAACCATCTGCAACGCTCGGTTTCTGAATGTTCTGGAAACAGCAGCGAGTCCAAAGTGTCTCTGAAACTGTTGTTTTGTGTTGTGTTTGGATTCATGGTCCAAACCAAGTGGATCAGGACAAAATCCACTGGAGGAATGTTAACTTTTTTAAAATACTATCAAAGAATTTAGCATTTTACTTTCGACCTGGACATTTGGATGTTTCTTGGGGGAAACAGTGGCTCAGTTGGTAGAGCATGTCTGCTGTCGTTGTGTCCTTGGGCAAGACACTCAACCCACTTGGCCTGAAGCCCCCGCTGAAAGACCAAGGCTATGCTCACTCTGACAGAGCAGCCATCCTTCTGTGGACTCAGCACCTGCAGAGGATCAGGGGCTGGTGCTCTGACTGCCACCCCCCAACCCAGAAATGGATTAAGGGGAAGAAACTGGATGGATGAAAGATACTGCTCATGTTTGTGGAGACGCTAAAGTATAACAAAATAGTGTCTTTTCTGCAGGTTTGTCTGTTTTGACAAACACCTCATTCTCTCAGCTTTTTGTCTAAGACTGGTGATGTCACACTCCCCTCTTTTCGACGGGAGATCACAGGAGAACGAAACAAGCTAGAAACAACAAATAATACATCTGATGAAAGTAGTCGGTCCAGTCTTTCTATCTATCTTTCTATCCATATCTATCCATATCTATCTGTATCTATCTGTATCTATCTGTATCTATCTGTATCTATCTGTATCTATCTGTATCTATCTGTATCTATCTGTATCTATCTGTATCTATCTGTATCTATCTGTATCTATTTGTATCTATCTGTATCTATCTGTATCTATCTGTATCTATCTGTATCTATCTGTATCTATCTGTATCTATCTGTATCTATCTGTATCTATCTGTATCCATCTGTATCTATCTGTATCTATCTGTATCTATCTGTATCTATCTCCAAACTACATGATGTGTTTTCCTTCCATCCAGAGCACACAGACTCGAGTGTGCTTCAGCGGCTGAGACCAAATAACCTGGATATTGTCGAAGAAACTGGCAACCCAAACAAAAGCCTCATTCGGCCTTGTCCTTGTACGATTTTAATGTTTCTTCTTTTGTTTTGCACTAGTTTAAATTGTCAGCTCTTTTGACCTCGTCCGTCTTAGATCCAGGAGGCTTCATTGGAGATCTGTTAATTTTATCAGAATATTATCTGGAAGATAAACTATGGGAACATTTATAACATGATTAAAATATGACAAATACGTTCTGCTTCATATTCATGGTTTGTCCCCTGGAGCTCCACAGCTGTGCCCTTCACATGCACCGACACGGCGCCAATCACATGCACCGACACGGCCCTTAATCACATGCACCAACACAGCCCCCAATCACATGCACCAACACGGCCCCCAATCACATGCACCAACACAGCCCCCAATCACATGCACCGACACGGCGCCAATCACATGCACCGACACAGCCCCCAATCACATGCACCAACACGGCCCCCAATCACATGCACCAACACAGCCCCCAATCACATGCACCGACACGGCGCCAATCACATGCACCAACACGGCCCCCAATCACATGCACCAACACAGCCCCCAATCACATGCACCGACACGGCCCCCAATCACATGCACCGACACAGCCCCCAATCACATGCACCGACACGGCGCCAATCACATGCACCGACACGGCCCCCAATCACATGCACCGACACGGCGCCAATCACATGCACCGACACAGCCCCCAATCACATGCACCGACACGGCCCCCAATCGCCAAGCACATGCAGCCCCTAATCACATGCACCGACACAGCCCCCAATCACATGCACCGACACGGCGCCAATCACATGCACCGACACAGCCCCTAATCACATGCACCGACACGGCGCCCAATCACATGCACCAACACAGCCCCCAATCACATGCACCGACACGGCGCCAATCACATGCACCGACACAGCCCCTAATCACATGCACCGACACGGCGCCCAATCACATGCACCAACACAGCCCCCAATCACATGCACCGACACAGCCCGCAATCACATGCACCGACACGGCCCCCAATCACATGCACCGACACGGCGCCAATCACATGCACCGACACGGCCCCAATCACATGCACCGACACGGCGCCAATCACATGCACCGACACAGCCCCAATCACATGCACCGATTTTCTTGTGGGTGGGACCACTCGCGGCCATTTTGGATAGCTCCAGTAGAGCACATTTTCTGGCCCATTAGTTAGAACGGCGGAGATAGGCGTGACTCTGTCCGTTAATATATACAGTCTATGGTACGAACGTGTTGGAAACCTTCCAGTAAAACGAGTATGGACAATTTTACCATTTTAGTGGTTTCTTTCATTCATCTGTGTGTCCGTGTTCTCTAATTCTGAGAGAAGGAGTCAGCGGGACATTTGGACTAAGTTTTTATATTGAAAGCTCAGATGTATAAAATCTTACTTATTCATAACATTTCATTGGATCATGTTTTTTCTTTTCTTATGACCAAAAATACAAAGTGGTTTCCAGCCCAGATGCTCATGTGCCTCATGTGCCTCCAAAGTCCCAAATGAGTTTTCCTGAAAGGTGGATTCTCGCATCTGCACCTCATTAATTCATCTTTTAGTTTTTAGTGTACGATGCCTGCGTTTTCTACAGACAGTTTTAACTAACCTTTGATGAGCGTTTGATTTGTTTCGGTTCAGGTTAACTGTAGCTAAAAACCAGTATCAACACATTTACATATATGGATATTAGATACAGACAGATACAGATAGATACTTTATTGATCCTGTTGGAGAAACGCAGGTGTCCAGGAGCAGCAGAAACACATCCATCCAAACAAACAAAACTGATAAATATATAATTCTAAAAGTATCTTAACAATAACAATAACAACAGTCCTTCAGTCACAGCAGCAGAGGTGGAGCCGCTTGGTCTGGACCATTTTCTCTGCTCTGGACCAGTGTAAAACCATGAATCCTCTCTGCTCTGGTCTGGACCAGTGTAAAACCATGAATCCTCTCTGCTCTGGTCTGGACCAGTGTAAAACCATGAATCCTCTCTGCTCTGGTCTGGACCAGTGTAAAACCATGAATCCTCTCTGCTCTGGTCTGGACCAGTGTAAAACCATGAATCCTCTCTGCTCTGGTCTGGACCAGTGTAAAACCATGAATCCTCTCTGCTCTGGTCTGGACCAGTGTAAAACCATGAATCCTCTCTGCTCTGGTCTGGACCAGTGTAAAACCATGAATCCTCTCTGCTCTGGTCTGGACCAGTGTAAAACCATGAATCCTCTGCTGTTTCAGAGACACTTTGGACACGCTGCTGTTTCCAGAACATTCTAAAGTAAACATATTTATATAAAATGGTGGTAATGTAAGCTTCTTTACTTATCCTCAACCACTTAGTTTTTGACTTTGAAGTAGATGCTGAAGCATTTGAAAACCTGTTCTGACAGAACAACAGAATATTTTAGTTCAGTGTTTGTAGACATTGTGCTGATTCTGGTGTTGTTCAGTCGGAGCTGCGTCTCGGAGCCTCTGCAGCGGTGCTAAGCAGGGGCTCAGTGGCCTCATTAATTCCCATAATAGAATTTCCTCTAAAAGTAATGCTCCTTTCTTCTAAAGGCATTGACCTAAGTTATCAACCAGCCCCAGACTGGATCACGGTCGGTGAATGAGCTGCACAAACAGCTCAAATCCACAACAACAGAAGGGTTTAGGGCAGAGGCCTCCGTCAGCATTTTGTATAACAGCGGGAAATGAGTTCAGAGATAGTTCTAAATCATACATCAGTTCATTAGCAGAATGGCACTGATGGATTTACAGAAGGGTCAGAGCATTAGCCGGCGCCGGGAGGGACTCGTTCTACAACCTTGTGTAATGTTCTGACGCTACGCTTTTCTGCTGAACCTCTCACTTCTCTGTGAAACACCGCGGGCGCTGGAAAGTCGGATTAAGAGTCTGCAAAGGCAAGAGCGAAATGTATACTGGCACATAAAGCAGAACGTGCAAAAGAAACGGGGCAAAAAGCAGTGAGTGGTTAGAACGTGTGTTTTTCAACCTGTGGGCCGTGGTACCTCAGTGCAGTCCGATAACACCCACAGTAATCAAAATACTGTGAGAAAGAGAAGATTAGACAGAAGTGTTTAATGATGACAGACTAGGGCCCTTTAATGATGACAGATTAGGGCCCTTTAATGATTACTTGACATGAAAATCTTACATATTGCTACTTTAAAGGATAATAATACAGTCTGTACAGGACATATTTATACACAAAAACCTCCCGTCACTGTGAATTTTCCACATAAAAAGCCCCCAGAGGCCTCTCGCGACCCCTCTCCTGCCCCTCTCCTGCCCCTCTTCTGCCCCTCTTCTGCCTCTCTCCTGCCCCTCTCCTGCCTCTCTCCTGCCTCTCTCCTACCCCTCTCCTGCCTCTCTCCTGCCTCTCTCCTGCCCCTCTCCTGCCTCTCTCCTGCCTCTCTCCTGCCTCTCTCCTGCCCCTCTCCTGCCTCTCTCCTGCCTCTCTCCTCCCTTCCTGCTCTCTCCTGCCTCTCTCCAGCCTCTCTCCTACCCCTCTCCTGCCTCTCTCCTGCCTCTCTCCAGCCCCTCTCCTGCTCCTCCTCTCCTGCCCTCTCCTGCCTCTCTCCTGCCTCTCTCCTGCCTCTCTCCTGCCCCTCTCCTGCCTCTCTCCTGCCTCTCTCCTGCCTCTCTCCTGCCCTCTCCTGCCCCTCTCCTGCCCCTCTCCTGCCTCTCTCCTGCCTCCTCTCCTGCCTCTCTCCTGCCTCTCTCCTGCCTCTCTCCTGCCTCTCTCCTGCCTCTCTCCTGCCTCTCTCCTGCCTCTCTCCTGCCTCTCTCCTGCCCTCTCCTGCCCCTCTCCTGCCTCTCTCCTGCCTCTCTCCTGCCTCTCTCCTGCCCTCTCCTGCCCTCTCCTGCCTCTCTCCTGCCTCTCTCCTGCCCTCTCCTGCCCCTCTCCTGCCTCTCTCCTGCCTCTCTCCTGCCTCTCTCCTGCCCCTCTCCTGCCTCTCTCCTGCCTCCTCTCCTGCCTCTCTCCTGCCTCTCTCCTGCCTCTCTCCTGCCTCTCTCCTGCCTCTCTCCGCCTCTCTCTCTCCTGCCTCTCTCCTGCCTCTCTCCTGCCTCTCTCCTGCCTCTCTCCTGCCTCTCTCCTGCCCCTCTCCTGCCTCTCTCCTGCCCCTCTCCTGCCTCTCTCCTGCCCCTCTCCAGCCCCTCTCCTGCCTCTCTCCTGCCTCTCTCCTACCCCTCTCCTGCCTCTCTCCTGCCTCTCTCCTGCCTCTCTCCTGCCTCTCTCCTACCCTCTCCTGCCTCTCTCCTGCCTCTCTCCTGCCTCTCTCCTGCCTCTCTCTCTGCCTCTCTCCTGCCCTCTCCTGCCTCTCTCCTGCCTCTCTCCTGCCCCTCTCCTGCCTCTCTCCTGCCCCTCTCCTGCCTCTCTCCTGCCTCTCTCCTGCCTCTCTCCTGCCCCTCTCCTGCCTCTCTCCTGCCCTCTCCTGCCTCTCTCCTGCCTCTCTCCTGCCTCTCTCCTGCCTCTCTCCTGCCTCTCTCCTGCCTCTCTCCTGCCTCTCTCCTGCCCCTCTCCTGCCTCTCTCCTGCCCTCTCCCCCCTCTCCTGCCTCTCTCCTGCCTCTCTCCTGCCTCTCTCCTGCCTCTCTCCTGCCTCTCTCCTGCCTCTCTCCTGCCTCTCTCCTGCCCCTCTCCTGCCTCTCTCCTGCCTCTCTCCTGCCTCTCTCCTGCCTCTCTCCTGCCTCTCTCCTGCCCCTCTCCTGCCCCTCTCCTGCCTCTCTCCTGCCCTCTCCTGCCTCTCTCCTGCCCCTCTCCTGCCTCTCTCCTGCCTCTCTCCTGCCTCTCTCCTGCCTCTCTCCTGCCTCTCTCCTGCCTCTCTCCTGCCTCTCTCCTGCCTCTCTCCTGCCTCTCTCCTGCCTCTCTCCTGCCTCTCTCCTGCCTCTCTCCTGCCTCTCTCCTGCCTCCTCTCCTGCCTCTCTCCTGCCTCTCTCCTGCCTCTCTCCTGCCTCTCTCCTGCCTCTCTCCTGCCTCTCTCCTGCCCCTCTCCTGCCTCTCTCCTGCCTCTCTCCTGCCTCTCTCCTGCCTCTCTCCTGCCTCTCTCCTGCCTCTCTCCTGCCTCTCTCCTGCCTCTCTCCTGCCTCTCTCCTGCCCTCTCCTGCCTCTCTCCTGCCTCTCTCCTGCCTCTCTCCTGCCCTCTCCTGCCTCTCTCCTGCCTCTCTCCCCTCTCCTGCCTCTCCCTGCCTCTCTCCTGCCTCTCTCCTGCCTCTCTCCTGCCTCTCTCCTGCCCTCTCCTGCCTCTCTCCTGCCCTCTCCTGCCTCTCTCCTGCCTCTCTCCTGCCTCTCTCCTGCCTCTCTCCTGCCTCTCTCCTGCCTCTCTCCTGCCTCTCTCCTGCCTCTCTCCTGCCTCTCTCCTGCCTCTCTCCTGCCTCTCTCCTGCCTCTCTCCTGCCTCTCTCCAGCCTCTCTCCTGCCTCTCTCCTGCCTCTCTCCTGCCTCTCTCCTGCCTCTCTCCTGCCTCTCTCCTGCCCCTCTCCTGCCTCTCTCCTGCCTCTCTCCTGCCTCTCTCCTGCCTCTCTCCTGCCTCTCTCCTGCCTCTCTCCTGCCTCTCTCCTGCCTCTCTCCTGCCCCTCTCCTGCCTCTCTCCTGCCTCTCTCCTGCCTCTCTCCTGCCCCTCTCCTGCCTCTCTCCTGCCCCTCTCCTGCCCTCTCCTGCCCCTCTCCTGCCTCTCTCCTGCCTCTCTCCTGCCTCTCTCCTGCCCCTCTCCTGCCCCTCTCCTGCCCCTCTCCTGCCTCTCTCCTGCCCTCTCCTGCCCCTCTCCTGCCTCTCTCCTGCCTCTCTCCTGCCTCTCTCCTGCCCCTCTCCTGCCTCTCTCCTGCCTCTCTCCTGCCTCTCTCCTGCCCCTCTCCTGCCTCTCTCCTGCCTCTCTCCTGCCTCTCTCCTGCCTCTCTCCTGCCTCTCTCCTGCCTCTCTCCTGCCCCTCTCCAGCTCCTCTCCTGCCCCTCTCCTGCCCCTCTCCTGCCCCTCTCCTGTCCCTCTCCTGCCCCTCTCCTGCCCCTCACTCACTCAGGTTGAGAATGAGTGTGGGTCCCGTGGGAGGAGCTGTCAGGAGCAGGAAGTGTGGGCCTGAAGCAGCAGCGGTCACTTAGCCTGACTGCTGACCACTGGCCCACGTCCAAACACAACACTACAGGATTTACACGCAGCAAAATGAACTCTGTCAGAATATCTGCGACGAACACGCGCAGTCCCAGGACAAGTGCCTCATTTGCATTTTGTGAAATAGTTTGATTTGCACAGTTATTTCAATGACTTCTGTGAACAGTAGAAATCAATAATAACAATAGAAGTTCCCCTAGTGGACAAATGCAGACATAGCATCTAGTTCCCGTGTTGACTTCTACTTTGCATCTGTCTTTATGGCCGTAAGAATGTCTCTCGATAAAAATACAAATAAAACTGAAAAAACGACTGAAAAATCTTGGTCCTGGTCCCGTCCTGGTCTCGTCCTGGTCCTGTCCTTGTACCGTCCTAGTCTTGTACTGGTCCCGTCCTGTCCTAGTATTGTCCTAGTTTCGCCCTAGTCCTTTCCCAGTCTCGTCCTGGTCCGTCCTAGTCTCGTCTTGGTTCCGTCTTAGTGTCGTCCTAGTCTCGTCCTGGTCCTGTTCTAGTCTCGTCCTAGTCTCGTCCTGGTCCTGTCCTAGTCTCGTCCTGGTCCTGTTCTAGTCTCGTCCTAGTCTCGTCCTGGTCCTGTCCTAGTCTCATCCTGGTCCCGTCCTGGTCCCGTTTTAGTCTCTTCCTGGTCTCGTCCTGGTCCCGTCCTGGTCCCGTCCTGGTCTCGTCCTGGTCACGTCCTGGTCCCGTCCTGGTCTCGTGCTGGTCCTGTCCTGCTCCAATCCTGTTTCCTTAAACACATGTATTATTACCCACAGCATTAGAACCAAAGTCCTCTGTGTTTTTATGTATGAATATTAATGCTATTGATATTGTATGTTTTCTGTGGTTTTAGTAAAAAGTAAGTTATATCCAATTGGACAAAAAACTCTCTGAAAACTGTTTATCAAATGTGCGACTTAAATAAAGTGGATTAAATAACATCCTGAAGTGACTCGTGTAATAACGGTTCAGACTCAGCGTCACCTTGATATTACAGTAAGTAAATATTGTTTATCCTTCTACACATGACATCCATTAAACTTCAAACCTATTTAATGATGTTTTTACTCCTGTGTTTTTATCGCAGACTGTCTGTTCTTTCTCCGCAGCCGTCGGAGTTTGTTTTGAGCTGTTGAAAGCTCCGGCAGTAGCGGGTTTTCACACTCGCGGTGGGCGTTTATTAGACGTGAAATAGATTGCGTTCTGAGGTGAACACAGTCTCCTCGTGGAGTCAGAAGAGCGGTGGAATCCCAATTACACACCTGGAGGACTCTGGGCTGCGTCAGTAAACACCATTAGAACACATTAAACAGCAGACGCCCACATGAATCTCAATCTTTACAGTCTCCGCTGAAGGATTTCTTTTGCCTCTGATTGGCATTATCGTTTCTCCATTTCAGGCATTTTCCATCTCCTCATTTCCTTAAGTCCGCTCTGTTTTTCTCTGCACTGTACAAATCTTTCCACTGTTTTATATCCTGGTCCTGGTCAATAAAACCACCAAAAATGTTTTTTCCCGACTGAGCTTTCATTTTTTCCCATCTTTTCCAAACAAACCCTTCACAGCGTCAAAGTAGTAGAACGGCAACATGAGCTCCTGAATCTAGGACGCTTTGTGTACAGTGACTATGCCTCCCACAGATGTTTTCATAAACTGTTTGTACATGTTTTTCTCTTTGATCTATTTCTGTAGATTTCAGTTTTCAGTAAAAGTCCTGTCGCCTTCAGATAATTAACTATGAGGACATTGCTTTGTAGCTTCAATTCCATTCAATTTTGAAAAGCCAAAAATCACAGCAGCAGTCGTCTCAGAGGTTTTTACAAAGTTGGTGATTCGCCAACAATAGATTAGAGAATCAAAAAGTTCCAACACAGGAAATGCGATTACGGCAAACACATAAATGTTAATATTAAAGCATTGGTTTTAAATAACACTATTTGGGACGCTCAAAGTCTCTTCATATCATCGTTCATTAACAATAACACAGCAGTGATAAACTACTGCTGTAGCCACAGCTGCCCTGGGGCACACTGACAGAATCGAGGCAACCAGTCTGTGCCATCGGCCCCTCCCACCACCAACCATTCACACACACACCAGACTCATTCTAATGTGGGGGAAGTGTCTTGCCTAAGGACACAACCACAGTTTACAGCCGCCCCACTGTGGCACCTGCTGTTCCGAGAGGTCTCCCATCACAGCACTAACCAGGCCTTGCACTGCTGAGCTTCAGAGGTCTGACAGGATCCGGCTTTGACCTGCAGCTAAGGCCACTGTCTTTAGAAACTCCTGATTCTGGATTAAACAACTGAAAAATAAAGTGGGTAAAAAAGTAAGAAACCTGGGTCGATGATAAAGATCAGCTCCAGACGAAGGTTTAGAACTCACTGAACTCGACAGATTCAATAATTCAGTTTCTGATTTTTGCAAACGTATGATTCCAATATATCTGTGTTTGCAGCAGAAACATGATTAGACACAACACGTTCTCCGACTCCCACTGATGTCTGCTGTGGCTGTGTCCTTAGGCAAGACACTTCCCCCACATTAGAATGAGTGTGTGTGTGAGTGGTTGGTGGTGGTGGGAGGGGCTTCTGTCAGTGTGCCCCAGGGCAGCTGTGGCACACTGACAAGAGTCTGAAAAGAACTGTATAGCTCCAGAGTCTATTGTATTTTAATTGACTTTACCATCTTATGATCTTACTTTAAATGAATGACTGAATATTTTATTTCGAGCCATGGCAGACAAGAACAAACACATATACAGTATGTTTTATTTTATTAACCCAAAGTCTGCTCGAAAAGGAGTGGGAAGAAGTTAAGACTTTTAAACTCTCACCTGGGATTTATTTAACTTAGCTTTAATTCATTTAATTCTACAATCATATAATCTTAAATAATAGTCTGTTGCGTACGTCTGAGTCTTTTTTCTTCTCTCTCTGCTGTAATGTGCAACGATGACACTGAAATCTCCGCACTGTGGGTCCAATAAAGGAAAATCTTATCTTAAAACCAATGCATTATTATTAATATTATTATTATTATGGTCTGTAACACAGGGCTCTAAATGCACGGAGCCTAACGACCTGTTTCTCCGTGGTCCAGAGGCGCAGGTGGATGAGTCACTGAACTCAGCTTCAGCGTGAGCCTTTGTCGCGGTTAGAAAAGTCTGGAGCAGAGAACGCCGCAGCCAAAACAAACTCCGTCTGTATCGGCCTCATACAGAGCACTTTCAAACACGGCAACTGGGTTTGGCTCCGAGAAACACAACGCTGCAGAAGCACCCGGGGGCCCAGGCTGACAGCGTGTTCTGCAGGTAGATGTTTTCATACACATCAGCAACACCTGCCAACGCTGAAATCTCTGTCAAAACTGGCAACACCACCGTGGAAATGAGCAGAGTCACATTTCAGAGAGCTGCATCTGGCTGATTGCTGTTATGATTGTGAAGGTCTGATTATTATCATGAGAAGCAGGTATTTAAGATGCTTTTGTGAACTGGAAATATCAATGAAAATGCAGCAGCTCCAGGACACAGACCGTGATAGCGTCAGCAGTTTCACATTTATACATATTTTTACTTTTAATAATTACATTTGGACAGCGTTTCTGATAAGTGTCTGACAAAACCGTTCACAAACTACTGTATATGACATCACAATAATAACAAATGTGGATAGACAGATCCTGAAATGCATTGTTCAATAGTGAAAAATATTAGTCTAGAAACGTTTTTTTAGTCGCACATGAATAAAAGCCACAGATTTTAACGCTTAACACTCAGATTGACATTTTAAGTCCACTCTGCTCTGAGCATAGACCTAGTCACATAAAAGCAAGTGTGTAGTTATCTCCATTTGTCTCGTGCCGGCTCTTTGCTGTTCACATAAACACACTGAAGCAGGAATGTGTCATCAGCAGCTGAAAGAGCAGGGTCCAAACTGGTTGTCTGTCAGCAAGAGTCTGACAGAGACGTGAATGAAAAGGCAGAAGAAGATCGCTATACCAAGGGCTCTTATAGTCACGTGACCAAAGCACCTCTGGGCGCCATACCCAGCTGTCAATCAGCAAAATGGAGACTTAAGATAAGAACAAGAAGAAGGCTTACAGGGAGGAACTCTACAAGAAAACCAAAGATCGGTATCTAGCAAAGCTCAGAGGTGAGCTTTGCTAGATACTGAGCTTTGCGTAACAGAGGTGTTAGCATTGTAGCATTAGTTAGCATATGAGTATTAGCTGCTAAAGCAACTGACCTAGCTATTTCCAATATAGACATAGTTTGTTTTCTTGTGAATGGAGTCAAAGAGTTCAGAAAAGACAAATCTCTGGAGTTTCATGGACTTCCTCCTGACGTTAAAGCGTGTCAGGATATTAGGCACACACATGCTTACAGTAACACAAAGATGATTCTCTATTTTGATACTTTTAGACTTATTCGGTGAACAATATTCCCTTCATGGGACGTAAACAGCTGAGCAGAAGTATAAAATGGAGTTGCTACTTTGCAGAACGAGGACAACAGTTAGGCAGAAATGTTTAATTATGGGAAGCTGCAGTGAAGAAGCACAGACACTGATGAAGACTCAGGGAAGGCCCGCCCCAGGGACCAGCACCTGTATCTGTTTGGGCACACTTTGTATTAGCAGCTCAGACGGAGGAAGACTCTCGGTTCAACTCTGTGTTAGCCTCGTGAACACGCAACTTTATCTGTGATCTACAATGAATGCTGCTGGTGCATAAACATTTCTCTGGCTCTGGATAAATGTGCAGTGCTTCCAACAACAAACCTGGATCAGAGGAAACTACACAAGGGTTAACTTTGATTCCTCGACAAGAGATATGTTCATTAAAAACTGAAGGATCCGCCAACACCATGAACTGTTTTGCTAGAACAGCCTTTTACGCAACAGCCAGCCATGTTTAGGGAAAAATACATTATAATAGAGATAAAATTAGCACATATGATGAAAGGACCGGTCAAAATGTAATGGTTGTCATCCCCTTGATATGGGACTGGAACCATGTGTGATGTTTGCAAGAAATTATTTTGGACAATTCTACAACTTATAATTTAAAAGAAAATCTATATTGTCATCTGATTTATTTTAACATCTTGTATCTGCTTTTTTGAGTTCTAACAAAATAAAACTACACACAGTGGCACAGGTTACAAAGTTAATTCATAAAAGCAGTGGCTTCTGGTCATGTGGTAAACGTCAATCACTCAAACAGTTTTCTACAAACCCACAGTTGCTCTTGTTCTGACATGACTTTAGTTTCTCTTTCCACTGAAACCAGGTTGACAAAGATGCATCTGGGATTGCACCCGGCAGACAGCTGATGTGTTTCAACATTACAGGCTTTCATTTTGCGATGAGTAAAATCAATTTGACGACTAAGTGAGCCTTACTGCATCCAGGCCCATTCCTTTCACTCTAAACGGCGTGGGACTCCTTTTTGCTATAAATCTGGCAGTACAATCGCTGGAATAGGTCGCTGCCCTCACCTCGCACAGAACACGTCTAGTTAATGTCCTTGTAAGTGTCTTTCAGCTCTCCAAAGCCTGACCATACTTCAGGCTTTTATTGAAAAGAGTGTGCATTTGAGTTCATAATCGCCCGTGCATTACGCCAGGGGCCCATTCCTCACTCGCGGGCCTGATTTATGGTCTTCTAATCTGCGCTGGTACGGACTGTGGCTGTAGCTGCTGCGGCTGACCTGGATATGTGAGTGAGGTAAAAGAAAGATACTGTGGGGAGCTTCCCACGGCTGCAGCGGACTGTAAGTATACATCTATTCTGAATACTACCCCTGCCCAGGACCAGCCCCTGGGGGACGGTACAGGGACTGCTCTGATCTATTGGCTCAGACTTAGTGGCAAAGATACAGGCAGCCAAAAATGGGAACAGAGTTTGCTTACTAGATTTTTGGATGTAGTTTGTGATAGAGACCTGGTCCAAGGGTTTTGGCAGTGGCGTCGTGCTCTTGCTGATATTAGTGCTATCAGTTGCACAAAGCCGCAGGTTGTAGAATGTGTTTGTAGCTGTCAAAAGCTCTTCACTTACCACAGTCTGCTTTCTACATTTGACCCATTCATCAACTGCCACTTTCAGGAGCAGCAGCAGGAGTCACTCAATACCTCCATCCATCAAAAATGTTCATTTCAAAACCTGTACAACCCAGTTTTACAATAATATCCTGAATGTTGAAAAGGGTTTGGATGAAGCTAAAGCCAATACATATTTCAATCCTCCGACCCAGAGGAAAGATGGGACCAGCAGGAGCAGAGCCACTGGTCCCATGTCCAGACAAACTGTCCCACCACTTTTGGCTTCTGTGGCTTTTTCAAAATGGCCGCAGGGAAAATGTAGAAAACTGCATTGTGCATGTGTTAGCTGCACTAGCCCCAGTCATTTAACAAGTGCTTTCAAAAGTCCACAGCGGAGAACCAAGAGGACCAAGAACCACTTTTGGACCAAGATCCACTTTTGGACCAAGAACCACTTTTGGACCAAGAGCCACTTTTGGACCAAGACCTAATTTTGGATCAAGATCCACTTTTGGACCAAGAACCACTTTTGGACCAAGAGCCACTTTTGGACCAAGAACCACTTTTGGACCAAGAACCACTTTTGGACCAAGAACCACTTTTGGACCAAGAGCCACTTTTGGACCAAGAACCACTTTTGGACAAAGAGCCACTTTTGGACCAAGAACCACTTTTGGACCAAGAACCACTTTTAGACCAAGAACCACTTTTGGACCAAGAACCACTTTTAGACCAAGAACCACTTTTGGACCAAGAACCACTTTTGGACCATCCTGTAATGACGTTTTCCAGACAAAAGAAGATGCCATGCAAAATCTTTGGGTAATTCTGTTTCCGGGTACACCCCCACCGAGGGGAGTGAGATTGCAGCATGTCAGCGTCCTCACTGGTTCAGACTAGTCCCATCTATTAAGGCCAAAAACAAAACATACAGTAGAACCAAAGTGTTTTAAAACCTCTAAACTACTTGTGTGTATGGATTGTAATCATTACTGTGGTTTAAAAGTGAGGTACCCCAGCTTTAAATACTGTTGGCGAGTTTTGATGTGTGGAATGCACATTGCAGTGTGTATCATCTGCCAAGAGTCATAGTGTTAAAAAACAAACAATAAAAACAACTCAGGTCAGACACTCCAGGAAAAAGGAATCATTAAACGTCAGAGATAAAAGCAGAGTAAAGACAGATGGAGAGCGAGAGGAGGATAAACATAGAAAGAGTGGGAGACGGCAGCGGCATGCTAAAGAAGCAGAAAGCTTTGTTCTCATGCCACACACAGGAAAAGGCCACATCAATGGTGGAGCCTGTTTCCATCCAATAGAATCAAAGGCAGACTAGTGCGAGAGCGAGAGAGAGAGCGTCACCCGTTTGAGATTCTGGAAGTCTCCCAGTCCCCGCTGTCACCCGTCCATCCCCTCCAGGAAACACAAAGAGCATTATGCATGAAGCGCAGAAGGTCTGTAAGCATGGCCCTCGCCGTCGCCAGATCTGCAAACACGAAGCCAGTCCGAAGGCGCTAGCTCTGGGACGAATCAATGAGGGTTTAGGAGGTGATCATTCTTACATTGCTTATGTCTGACCTCCGACTCACTCCTGTTCCAGAGTGACGCTCACGTACTCACCTTCAGATGTGACAAGTCCGAGTGCGAGAGGCCGGACAGAGGATTTATGACCATTTCAAAGACTCTCAGCGCTGAAGGACTGACTTCTTTCACAGTTCAGGCTTCACTCAGATGTGCAGGACTAGACCCAAACTTGTGGATATTTAGAGAGTCCAAAAGAGGACATTTAATGAATACTTACAAGATACATTCAGACATAACAGAAAACATCATACCCCAAAGAAAGATGTCTGAAAGAGAGAGAGAGAGAGAGAGGGCCATGGAGACTTAGCATTAGCCTGATTCATGTTGCTCAGAGCAGGCATGTCCAAACTCAGGCTCGCGGGCCAAATACGGTCCTCTGAGCCATTTTCTGTGGCCCTCTGCTGCTTTGACAGTGTCATCCAACTAACTTCAGCTCCACCAATAGATAAGATAAGATAGATTTGATTGATCTCGGACTAGAGAAATGTACATGTCACATTTGGCACAGACAGAATAACTCAGATTAAGGTCTGTGCAGGACATAATAATGTAGAATAAAAAGAGGCAACACAGTTATGCTGTACCTTCTGTATCTCAGACCGTCTGGAATCCAGTCGTTGATTTTATTGTTAATCACTGACTTTTGTTTTATTATAGTGTCACAACATTCCAAATAAATTGCAGCTGTGAATCAATAAGGACGTATTATACCCAATTCCAGAATCCCGTCAATCCAGGTTTTCAGCCCCAAGTCAAGTCTGATGAACTAAATTGGCCCTCTTACTAAAAAGTTTGGACACCTCTGGCATAGAGCATTGACACCAACCAAGAGCCCAAACTGTGGCTCCCAACTCTCTGGATACAGGCGGTGAGGTCTCTCCCCGGTTCTGTATTGGTCTTGGGGGGTCATCCAGGAGCCCATGGAAGGGGGCATGGACTGGGGCGTGGACGGGGGCGTGGACGGGGGCGTGGACAAGGGCATGGACTGGGGCGTGGACGGGGGCATGGACTGGGGCATGGACGGGGCATGGACGGGGGCGTGGACGGGGGCACGGACTGGGGCATGGACGGGGGCGTGGACGGGGCGTGGACGGGGGCGTGGACGGGGGCGTGGACTGGGGCATGGACTGGGGCACGGACTGGGGCATGGACTGGGGCACAGACGGGGGCATAGACGGGGCATGGACTGGGGCGTGGACTGGGGCACGGACTGGGGCACGGACTGGGGCATGGACTGGGGCACAGACGGGGCATGGACTGGGGCGTGGACTGGGGCGTGGACTGGGGCACGGACTGGGGCACGGACGGGGGCATGGACTGGGGCACGGACTGGGGCATGGACTGGGGCACGGACTGGGGCACGGACTGGGGCACGGACTGGGGCACAGACGGGGGCATAGACGGGGCATGGACTGGGGCGTGGACGGGGGCACGGACGGGGGCACGGACTGGGGCACGGACTGGGGCATGGACGGGGGCATAGACGGGGCATGGACTGGGGCGTGGACTGGGGCACGGACTGGGGCACGGACTGGGGCACAGACGGGGGCATAGACGGGGCATGGACTGGGGCACGGACTGGGGCACGGACGGGGGCATGGACTGGGGCACGGACGGGGGCATGGACTGGGGCACGGACTGGGGCATGGACTGGGGCACGGACTGGGGCACAGACGGGGGCATAGACGGGGCATGGACTGGGGCGTGGACGGGGGCACGGACGGGGGCACGGACTGGGGCACGGACTGGGGCATGGACGGGGGCATAGACGGGGCATGGACTGGGGCGTGGACTGGAGCATGGACGGGGCCTGGACGGGGCATAGACGGGGCCTGGACGGGGGCACGGACTGGGGCACGGACTGGGGCACGGACGGGGCATGGACTGGGGCATGGACTGGGGCGTGGACGGGGGCACGGACTGGGGCATGGACGGGGGCACGGACTGGGGTGTGGACTGGAGCGTGGACGGGGGCACGGACTGGGGCATGGACTGGGGCACAGACGGGGGCATAGACGGGGCATGGACTGGGGCGTGGACTGGGGCACGGACTGGGGCACGGACTGGGGCACAGACGGGGGCATAGACGGGGCATGGACTGGGGCACGGACTGGGGCACGGACGGGGGCATGGACTGGGGCACGGACGGGGGCATGGACTGGGGCACGGACTGGGGCATGGACGGGGGGCATGGACTGGGGGGGGCGTGGACGGGGGCATGACGGGGCACGGACTGGGGCATGGACGGGGGCACGGACTGGGGCATGGACGGGGGCACGGACTGGGCATGGACGGGGCACGGACTGGGGCGTGGACGGGGCTGGGGGCACGGGGGCATGGACGGGCGTGGGGGCGTGGACTGGAGCATGGACGGGGCCTGGACGGGGGCACGGACTGGAGCATGGACTGGGGCGTGGACGGGGCGTGGACGGGGGCACGGACTGGAGCATGGACTGGGGCGTGGACTGGGGCATGGACGGGGGCATGGACTGGGGCACGGACTGGGGCACGGACTGGGGCACGGACTGGGGCACAGACGGGGGCATAGACGGGGCATGGACTGGGGCGTGGACTGGGGCACGGACGGGGGCATAGACGGGGCATGGACTGGGGCACGGACTGGGGCACAGACGGGGGCATAGACGGGGCATGGACTGGGGCACGGACTGGGGCACAGACGGGGGCATAGACGGGGCATGGACTGGGGCACGGACTGGGGCACGGACGGGGGCATGGACTGGGGCACGGGGCACTGGGGCACGGACTGGGGCATGGACTGGGGCACGGACTGGACACGGACTGGGGCATGGGGCTGGGGGGCATGGACTGGGGCACGGGGACGGGGGGCACGGACTGGCACGGGGGGCATGGACGGGGGCATAGACGGGGCATGGACTGGGGCGTGGACTGGGCATGGACGGGCTGGGGGGCACGGGGCGGACTGGGGCACGGACTGGGGCACGGACTGGGCACGGACTGGGGACGGGGGCATAGACGGGCATGGACGGGGGTGGCATAGACGGGGCATGGACTGGGGCACGGACTGGGCATGGACGGGGCATAGCGGGCATGGACGGGGCGTGGATGGAGCATGGACGGGGCGGGGGCATAGACGGGGCCTGGACGGGCATAGACGGGGCCTGGACTGGGGCGTGGACTGGGGCACGGACTGGGGCACGGACTGGGGCACAGACGGGGGCATAGACGGGGCATGGACTGGGGCGTGGACGGGGGCACGGACGGGGGCACGGACTGGGGCACGGACTGGGGCATGGACGGGGCATGACTGGGCATGGGGACTGGGGCGTGGACTGGAGCATGGACGGGGCCTGGACGGGGCATAGACGGGGCCTGGACGGGGGCACGGACTGGGGCACGGACTGGGGCATGGACTGGGGCATGGACTGGGGCATGGACTGGGGCACGGACTGGGGCACGGACTGGGGCATGGACTGGGGCACGGACTGGGGCATGGACGGGGCGTGGACGGGGCGTGGACATCAGATAATGGGGAAAATCCAACAAGAACTGCTTTTCTGTTCTGTGAAAACAACAGTAACTTTGCCGTAATGCTATGATGTTGTTTTTTGTTTCCTCGTCACACCGGGGACTGAAATACAATGCAGATTTTGGCAGACTTAATGATCAAAGCACTGGGTCAGAGAAGTTTCATTTTGTGCAGAAGCAAAAACAGAAAAATCACTTGGGAAAATGAACAAATCTATGCTTTTTTGGCTGGATTTCACAATTGGCTCAAACAGCTACGAGTCCAATCGTAATGTATAAAGTCTTTATGGATGTCCGTATTTCTTTCCATTTCACAAAATTAATTAAAAACATTTCGCAGCTGGTGTAGTCGAACACATTTATTGCTCCTAACACTTAAGATCCGAATCCAACACATTTCTTTTACTCTGTTATGCAAACTATCTTCAATTCTCTCACTTTTCACCTTGATCGCAGACGGAAAACTTTCACATTCTCCCAGAAAGTTTTGGAAAGCGAAGCAGAGATGGCGATGGCCCAAACAGAGCTCGGGTGTTTTTGGCAGATAAAGTGAAAATGCTGTGGGGAGGAGGGAGACACCGTAGTCAGATAAAACTGGGATCCGATCAGAGGCAGAACAAGTGATGCGATGCCATTTCACGATTCCGACCAGGAGAGACATCCACCTTTGTGTGCATTTTTTATGGAGAAATTGCTGGCAAGAATCCCCGCATGTCAAGGGCTGTCAGATGAAGCTCCTTTTCTTTACCCGCCCTGACAGTTTTTAAGTCCTAAAGAGATTCTTGTCTCTCGTTGTTAAATCCGTCTGCACAGAAAAGGATGTGAAAGACTCAGGGCTTAATTTGCAGTCACACAAGAGGCCACCAAATTGGGCCTTTTCAAAACTATCCAAAACTATCTACTAGATCCTGAACAGACCTAATTAGCATTTTCACAAAAACATCACATAATGATCACAGTAAAGAGTAGTGTATTTAAAGTAGCTATATGTAAGATTTACATGTCAAGTCATCATTAAAGGGCCCTAATCTGTCATCATTAAAGGGCCCTAATCTGTCGTCATGAAAGGGCCCTAATCTGTCATGATTAAAGGGCCCTAATCTGTCATCATTAAAGGGCCCTAATCTGTCATCGTTAAAGGGCCCTAATCTGTCATCATTAAAGGGCCCTAATCTGTCATCGTTAAAGGGCCCTAATCTGTCATCATTAAAGGGCCCTAATCTGTCATCATTAAAGGGCCCTAATCTGTCGTCATTAAAGGGCCCTAATCTGTCATAATAATAAACTGCTCTTTTCCAATACTTCTTTAACTGATAACAGTAGTTCAGAGATATTTGAATTTCTAAATTACTTTTCCAGCCTCTAAATCTTGTTATTGTTTTCATGTCGATGTCCCGCCCCCCACCGTTTCACCAATCAGAAAGTCTGTGATCCGGGCGCCAGAACTCACCGCATGGAGCTAATCTCACTGGTAAAGTACCATGTGGCACAGAACTAAAAAAGGTCTCGTTATGATTCTCAAATCATTAACGACAAAACAAGGAATAAAACCAGGATTTCTATCTTTGTGAAAAAGGTGTTGGTTATAGATTTGTTGTTGACAAAACTCTTGTCTATTCAGCTGTTATGGTCCCAGCTGGATTCGTCTGCATATCTGGCAACCTGAGTCAGGGAGAGTGGGAGAGGCTGCAGTACCACTTTTGGCCACATGTTTACACACTGCTCCTTTTTTTGAATTTTCAACTTTTAAACAATTCAACTTTAATACAGACTCTAGGTCCAATAAAAAAGATTTAAAAAACATACCGAAATACAAAACAAAAATTTACAAACAGTCTTTAAAACACACGTGTCTCCACAATTTGGACTGAAACCGAGTGGCACTGTACATTAGGGTCAGTCAGTCCATCAGTCCGTCAGTCCATCAGTCTCTCAGTCCGTCAGTCCATCAGTCTCTCAGTCCGTCAGTCCGTCAGTCTCTCAGTCCATCAGTCCGTCAGTTTATCAGTCCGTCAGTCTCTCAGTCTGTCAGTCCGTCAGTTTATCAATCCGTCAGTCTCTCAGTCTGTCAGTCCGTCAGTTTATCAGTCCGTCAGTCTCTCAGTCCGTCAGTCCGTCAGTTTATCAGTCCGTCAGTCTCTCAGTCCGTCAGTCCGTCAGTTTATCAGTCCGTCAGTCCGTCAGTCCGTCAGTCTCTCAGTCCATCAGTCCGTCTGTTTATCAGTCCGTCAGTCTCTCAGTCTGTCAGTCCGTCCGTCAGTCCGTCAGTTTATCAGTCCGTCAGTCTCTCAGTCCATCAGTCTATCTGTCAGTCCGTCAGTCCGTCAGTCCATCAGTCCATCTGTCAGTCAGTCCGTCAGTCCGTCAGTCCGTCAGTCCGTCAGTCCGTCAGTCCTCAGTCCGTCAGTCCATCAGTCCATCTGTCAGTCAGTCCGTCAGTCCGTCAGTCCGTCAGTCCGTCAGACTGACTGACAGACGGACTGTCAGTCCGTCAGTCCGTCAGTCCAGTCTGAGGTCACACACTGCTGCTCTGGTCCATCGTGGCTTTCTCACAACATCTCTACTGTAAATCCTAATAACGCTGCTGTTATCCCCTGTTGTAAAAACCATGGACTGCACCATAACAATGCCCTGCTGCACTTATGGTCATTAACCATGCGACACACACACACTCTGTTTTGCATTTCCATTTGTCCTAACTCCCTTCACCCGCCGTCCGTGTGCTCGGGTCAAGGACTTAATGAATCTTACTTGGCTGCAGGTGGAATGAGTGCAAGCAAAGTCATAAATTCACCGACTCAAATGAAGAAATGAAAAGCACGACCTTTAAAAACTCCTGCTGGACATTTTCAAGCAAGAAAACAATTAAAACGTACTCGTTCCTTCTGTAGCAGGAGGGTTCAGTGGCACTTGGCCTCAGTCCCAGAGGTGGAGACACCGCTGTGGCTAAAATCAGTGCTTCCTTCTCCATTCTTCATGAATCCAGAATCTTAAACCGAGATCTCAGAATCATCTATTTCTTTTTTGGTCCCTGGAAAAGCCATGTTCCAGCTTCTTTCCTCTGGCGGAAGACATCGCAGACTGATGAGATGCAGGACATATTTTGCTAACAGCTTCTTTTTAAGTTAGTAAGTAAGTAATGATTATAAATAGCGCCTTTCTCAGACCAGAGTCACAGAGATGGGAGTGAGGCCAGTACAGAAGGCACATTGTACATGTTTTTAGTGGTAGGGGAAACCGGAGCACCTGAAAGAAACCTACACAGACACGGGGAGAACATGCAAACTCCACTTCGAACCCAGGACCTTCTTGCTGAGTAGGGAGAGTGGTCACCATTTTAACCTTTCTTTTGTGTCTGGTGCAAATGTATTTCAATGTGGTTTTACTGCAGATGGAAAATAACATGAATCTGAATCAGATCTGAATCCATCCATGTTCTTCCCCTTAATCCATGTCTGGGTCGGGGGGTGGCAGTCAGAGCACCAGCCCCTCACTGATCCTCCTGCAGGTGCTGAGTCCACAGGAGCATTGATTATTCAGCGGGGGCATCAGGCAAAGTGGGGCTAAGTGTCTTGCCCGAGGACACAACGACAGCAGACATCGGAGGTTTTGATGGACCAGTGTGTTCGGCGACTCACGTCCGTCATCACCGTGTGGAGAGAATGAAAAAACTCTGAACTCTGAACAAGTGCTTTGGGCGACCTTGGTCTGAAAAATGTGCTATATAGATAAACATTACTTACTTACAACCTTCAAGTCCAAAATGCGAATGCTCTACCAAGTTTAATATTTACATTAAAACTGTACTGGTTTTCTTTGTTATTGGCACCAACTAAAAAGCCAAGAATGTACTGTATGTGGTGCAGTTGTCGCTTCCATCTCCAAGTCCAGGACTCCTTTGAGAAAGAGGTTTTTAATCCTGGTTAATTAAAGGTTAAATAAGAAGTAAATAGCCTTCATTGAAACACACACTGACTCAGGCTGAGGTTATAATCATTTAGATGTATGGACTCTGAAGGTAAAATATTCACAGGAAATCAAAGCTCGACACATTTCCATCTAATGTGGGCCTATAATGTTGAATAATCGTGCACAGTATGGTCCCTGCTGAGAGGAGCTGTGGCACGGGGCTTAAATCACAGAAATAGCTCTGAGAACACTGGATCCTTGAAGGTCAGTCACAAAAGACTTTACATCACGAGCCCAGATAATGTCGTGAATAAATCCGCTTCCTGATTCCCCAAAGGCAGAGGTTTGGGAGCGCCACAACACATGCACCTCCACATTCCCTGAGCATCCTCCTCCTCCCACCTCCGAGACCCGAGTCAGGACGGACATGATTTATCACACCAATATCCCCTTCAGCAACACACTGATTGCTTTGATTCTTTTATTGACATTTCCTAGGATCCGACCTGCATGCATTTTTCATGTTTGCCCAGAGATGGAAATACTGCATTTCTAAAAGCTGGCAAATCTAGACATCCCAACTGTATTTTATAGTATTTGTGTCCCTGCAGCTGCTGTTGTGGAGTGGTATTTGAGTTGCTTATGTTGTGTATTGACCGTCCACCTCATGTCTCACACACGGCCGCCTCATGTGAAGTCCGGGGCAGGCGGGGGCGGGTGCGGCGTCCTGCTGGCTCGTGGAGGTCATGCACTGGAGGCTGCTGATGCACGGCTCTGTGAGGAGAATGAGAGGGACAAGATGAGCAGATTAAAGTTTTGAAGGGTGACCCGGCCTCCTTTGGTGGCGAAGGTGGCTCAGCGTGTGCAAAGGGGCTTGTGAAGGAATCTGGCTCTTTTCATATGCACATCTAAGCACTTCTGAGCTGTGCCGGCCTGCGCTGTACTGCAGTGCACTTGGGTGTCTGTCAAGGAGCACTGCACGACTTTCTGTTTTGTTTACAAAAGCTGAGCTCCCCGGTGAAATATGGAACTATGAATTTTAAAACTTCGAGCTTTCATATTGAAAAACACTTGTTGAGGATTTGCTGAATAGTTCCATGGACCACATATGGTTCTGTTTATGTGTGTGTGCACTTAACACACAAACGCCTTAATTATGTTTTCACATTTGTACATTGTGTATGAACAGTTGTAGATCACGAGACATTAAATGATTACAAAGCTTTAAGAAAGAACCATTATGGCACTTTGAGTAGAGTGCAGAATGAATGAAAGGTTGGATTAGATTTCCTAATTGCTTTGACTGTTTTAGTCAAATCTGCAATGTTAGATTTAAACAACTTATCATTGACCTCCGCTCGACCTACACCTCTGTCTCCACCCGCCCAGGTCTACCCTCTCCTCTGTCTCCACCCGCCCAGGTCTAAACTCTCTCTGTCTCCACCCGCCCAGGTCTAAACTCTCTCTGTCTCCACCCGCCCAGGTCTAAACTCTCCTCTGTCTCCACCCGCCCAGGTCTAAACTCTCTCTGTCTCCACCCGCCCAGGTCTAAACTCTCCTCTATCTCCACCCGCCCAGGTCTAAACTTTCCTCTATCTCCACCCGCCCAGGTCTAAACTCTCTCTATCTCCACCCCGCCCAGGTCTAAACTCTCTCTGTCTCCACCCGCCCAGGTCTAAACTCTCTCTGTCTCCACCCGCCCAGGTCTAAACTCTCCTCTGTCTCCACCCGCCCAGGTCAAAACTCTCTCTGTCTCCACCCGCCCAGGTCTAAACTCTCTCTGTCTCCACCCGCCCAGGTCTAAACTCTCTCTGTCTCCACCCGCCCAGGTCTAAACTCTCTCTGTGTCCACCCGCCCAGGTCTAAACTCTCTCTGTCTCCACCCGCCCAGGTCTAAACTCTCCTCCTGTCTCCACCCGCCCAGGTCTAAACTCTCTCTGTCTCCACCCGCCCAGGTCTAAACTCTCCTCTATCTCCACCCGCCCAGGTCTAAACTTTCCTCTATCTCCACCCGCCCAGGTCTAAACTCTCTCTATCTCCACCCGCCCAGGTCTAAACTCTCTCTGTGTCCACCCGCCCAGGTCTAAACTCTCTCTGTCTCCACCCGCCCAGGTCTAAACTCTCTCTGTCTCCACCCGCCCAGGTCTAAACTCTCCTCTGTCTCCACCCGCCCAGGTCAAAACTCTCTCTGTCTCCACCCGCCCAGGTCTAAACTCTCTCTGTCTCCACCCGCCCAGGTCTAAACTCTCTCTGTCTCCACCCGCCCAGGTCTAAACTCTTTCTGTCTCCACCCGCCCAGGTCTAAACTCTCTCTGTCTCCACCCGCCCAGGTCTAAACTCTCCTCTGTCTCCACCCGCCCAGGTCTAAACTCTCTCTGTCTCCACCCGCCCAGGTCTAAACTCTCTCTGTCTCCACCCGCCCAGGTCTAAACTCTCCTCTGTCTCCACCCGCCCAGGTCTAAACTCTCCTCTGTCTCCACCCGCCCAGGTCTAAACTCTCTCTGTCTCCACCCGCCCAGGTCTAAACTCTCTCTATCTCCACCCGCCCAGGTCTAAACTCTCTCTGTCTCCACCCGCCCAGGTCTAAACTCTCTCTGTCTCCACCCGCCCAGGTCTAAACTCTTTCTGTCTCCACCCGCCCAGGTCTAAACTCTCTCTGTCTCCACCCGCCCAGGTCTAAACTCTCCTCTGTCTCCACCCGCCCAGGTCTAAACTCTCTCTGTCTCCACCCGCCCAGGTCTAAACTCTCTCTGTCTCCACCCGCCCAGGTCTAAACTCTCCTCTGTCTCCACCCGCCCAGGTCTAAACTCTCTCTGTCTCCACCCGCCCAGGTCTAAACTCTCTCTGTGTCCACCCGCCCAGGTCTAAACTCTCTCTGTCTCCACCCGCCCAGGTCTAAACTCTCCTCTGTCTCCACCCGCCCAGGTCTAAACTCTCTCTGTCTCCACCCGCCCAGGTCTAAACTCTCTCTATCTCCACCCGCCCAGGTCTAAACTCTCTCTGTCTCCACCCGCCCAGGTCTAAACTCTTTCTGTCTCCACCCGCCCAGGTCTAAACTCTCTCTGTCTCCACCCGCCCAGGTCTAAACTCTCCTCTGTCTCCACCCGACCAGGTCTAAACTCTCTCTGTCTCCACCCGCCCAGGTCTAAACTCTCTCTGTCTCCACCCGCCCAGGTCTAAACTCTCCTCTGTCTCCACCCGCCCAGGTCTAAACTCTCTCTGTCTCCACCCGCCCAGGTCTAAACTCTCCTCTGTCTCCACCCGCCCAGGTCTAAACTCTCTCTGTCTCCACCCGCCCAGGTCTAAACTCTCTCTGTCTCCACCCGCCCAGCTCTAAACTCTCTCTGTCTCCACCCGCCCAGGTCTAAACTCTCTCTATCTCCACCCACCCAGGTCTAAACTCTCTCTGTCTCCACCCGCCCAGGTCTAAACTCTCCTCTATCTCCACCCGCCCAGGTCTAAACTCTCTCTGTGTCCACCCGCCCAGGTCTAAACTCTCTCTATCTCCACCCGCCCAGGTCTAAACTCTCTCTGTCTCCACCCGCCCAGGTCTAAACTCTCCTCTATCTCCACCCGCCCAGGTCTAAACTCTCTCTGTCTCCACCCGCCCAGGTCTAAACTCTCTCTGTCTCCACCCGCCAAGGCCTTTGTGATGGAAATGTGAAACTTACCAATGGGAATCATCTACATCAGGGGTCACCAACCTTTTTGAAACCAAGAGCTACTTCTCCAGTACTGATTAATGCGAAGGGCTACCAGTTTGTTACACAATTACATAAATTGCCAGAAAAAGCCAATTTGCTCAATTTACTTTTAACTCTGTTCATATTAATAATTAATGATATTTATCTTTGTGGAAACACTGATCATCTTAACGATTTCTCACAATAAATATATATAGAAACAGATAAATATCAATATGCAACATTTTTCAAATTGAACATTTTCAAACGATCACTTTTTGTGAAATCACAATATCCCATTTTAACCAACTAGCCACTAACATTTTTTAACAAATCATGAATAACTTTGCACCATGTTTATACAAATAATAACTCATGTAAAATACAAAAGTCAACTCTCGTCACACGTGATGGTGATCTCACAGGAGTTTAGAAACCAAAGCAGTCCCATTTACGCTGCTACTTTCTCCTCTTCTGAACAAAAACAACAGTGAAGCTGTTTGAGATCATTACATGTGTTTCTACTGTAGGTTTATGTGACAGTTCTAAACTCATCGTTTCAACTCATTTAACTCTGATGTTGTGAATAAAGACACAGTTCTTGTTGGAAACATAGTTATTAATAAAGTGTATTCAGCACAAACAGATAATCAATAAGTGGTAAATATCTGAGAAAAACACGAACTATAAGTGCAGTAGGAATGCAACAGACGCGATAAGCTACAACGCAAACAAGACAGGAACAGTGCAAAAGAAACAACTGCACAGTTTATAAGTTATATCAGGCTCTGCCATGAGACCAAACTACTTTTCCTTCGGTTCCTTCGAAGCACAAAGCGGTCTGCTCCGAAGTGCCTCGTCCATGCTCCCTGCAGCCGCTCCATGCTTCCGTCCAAAACACACACACGGACCAATCACAGCGGAGCTCCTCTCACACACGGACCAATCACAGCGGAGCTTGTCTGCGGCGTTGGCCGCGTAGTATTCGAGGGTGCGTGGCAGGCTACGTAAGGGCCTTGATGTGATCCACGCGTTGCGCAAGTGACGTCACGTCACCTCCGTAAGCTCCGCGCAGCGCACTAGGCTTGAGTGCTACTATTTGAGCTATTTTTAGAACAGGCCAGCGGGCGACTCATCTGGTCCTTACGGGCGACCTGGTGCCCGCGGGCACCGCGTTGGTGACCCCTGATCTACATCAAGGCCCAAACGATTGACCTCTTGTTTCCAGCTCATCAATTATTTTAATAGCTGAAAAATTCACCAATTTCAGAATTTTTGAAGGTAAAGTAAGGATTTTTTTCATTTAACAAAAAAGCAATACATTTTATTCTTGTGGTTTTAGACGTAAACTCAACCGACTGACTATAGAGCTACATGTAGCTTATGAGACTCACGAGGATCGAATGCTTACACACAAGCTTTATAAACTTACAAACATTTTCAGTTGTAACGCCCCATTTCTTTTCTTACAGTGCCTTGTCCATGAGTTAAGGGCAGTACGGTTTCAGTGCCGTTCTTACAGCTGTGAAGCTCGCACATCGAGACACTCCAGTCGTTGCCCTCTGTTAGGACAGTTAAAAACAACAAAACTCCGGTGCCTGTAACTCATGGACAAGGCACTGTAAGAAAAGAAATGGGGCGTTACAACTGAAAATGTACAGCTTTGGGCAAGTTTATAAAGCTTGTGTGTGTAAGCATTAGATCCTTGTAAGTCTCATAAGCTACATGTAGCTCTATAGTCAGTCGGTTGTGTTTACGTCTAAAACCACAAGGAAAAAATGCATTGCTTTTTTGTTGAATTAAAAAATCTTTACTTTACCTTCAAGAATTCTGAAATTAGTGATTTTTTTAGCAATTAAAATAATCTATGGGCTGGAAACAAGAGGTCAATCGTTCGCAACAAGTAATCCAATACTACGGTCGTGTTTGATGCCCACCTTTTCGACCCACCTAATGCTGTGCGGGCGAACCGGAGGCTGGGAACTCTTGATGCATGTCTACAGTTAAACGAAGAGGACAAAGATGGCGGTGTCTCATGAAAGCAGAGTCTGGAAGAATCCAAAATGTTCCAAGAAATATCAGAATGTAACTGTTTTTTTCATGTACAAAAAAGACATTTTCACATGTTAGAAAACTTAATGAGGTTTTTTTCTGCACAATATCCTCTCTTTGATAATAATACAGTTTTGAGAATCAAGAGAATCAATCAATCAAGAGAAGTCACCTTTGAAACACGACCCACATTATGTTCAGAACAGATCCATCGACTCCGACACATCAGGTCCAGAATCGCTCTAATCTGAAGCCGCTACTTTCCATTCACGGAGAGACAGCCCAACCCCAGAGCACATCACACGCATAGAGAGCTCCGGCACTTTGATACATCTGTCTTCCAGCTGCATCCACAAAGTCCGGACTATTTTATTCCCCGGTACTTTAATGAGGGACCTGCAGCTGAGAGCGCCTGACAGACCTGAGGAGATGGAGCTACATCATGGCAGCGCTTGTCATTGTATTGATTCACTCTTGAAAACTGACGGGCCGAGCCGGTGCAAGGCGATAGGCCGGGATAGTGCCTCTTAACTTCGAGGATTGTTATGGATTTGAGAGTGGAGGAAGTAAATGGTGTTTCAGGAAAAGACCGGATAAAAGTCGGAAAGAAATGTTCGTGACGTGACATTGCAAGACAAATGTTTATAAGCAGGACATTGCAAACTTTTCCACTGTGAGAATAAGGGAGACATGAACTGTATGTGTCGTTTCAAAACATGTATGCTAGCAACGATTTAGCGCCACCTGCATGTGAAAGCTAGATCCCAGCAGACAGCAGAGCTAAGCAGGGGAGAGGTGGGTTAGTAGAGGGATGGGAGGTCCAGTATGAGAGAGATACTGGTTTCCTCGCTTCTGTCATTCTTCTCCAGGGCAGATGTGGCTACGGCAGGAGTTAGGATTAGGAATCATTTATTTAATTTTTGTTGAGATTTAATGTTTTGATTGATTGTGATTCACATGTGTAGTTACCAGACATGGAACCGTTGTGATGTGATGGATGGAATATTGGATGAGTTGAGTTGGTGTTAACTTAAAGATACTCCCACACAGAAGTTTATACAATATGATGTATTTGTAATGCACTATACACCTACATGTACGTCTGGTCTTACCATGTGTAAACTCTGGTCCATGGTCATTTCCTACATGTACGTCTGGTCTTACCATGTGTAAACTCTGGTCCATGGTCATTTCCTACATGTACGTCTGGTCTTACCATGTGTAAACTCTGGTCCATGGTCATTTCCTACATGTACGTCTGGTCTTACCATGTGCAAACTCTGGTCCATGATCATCTCCTACATGTACGTCTGGTCTTACCATGTGTAAACTCTGGTCCATGATCATCTCCTACATGTACGTCTGGTCTTACCATGTGTAAACTCTGGTCCATGATCATTTCCTACATGTACGTCTGGTCTTACCATGTGTAAACTCTGGTCCATAATTATCTCCTACATGTACGTCTGGTCTTACCATGTGTAAACTCTGGTCCATAATTATCTCCTACATGTACGTCTGGTCTTACCATGTGTAAACTCTGGTCCATGATCATCTCCTACATGTACGTCTGGCATGGCTAAAGCTAGGCTAAATGCTAAATACCTCACTCACTCGGGCTCATTACATTACCATTACAGATCCAATGGTTTCAATCTGCAAAAGGAGTTAGCCCCTCCCACCTGTTCACGGAGTCAATGGAGACAACCCAGACCTTAGTACGTATGAAATGAAATGAGTACAATGGTGCGATAAGACCAGGCTATAGGAATATACTGTAGATCTATGCCATAATCTGCCATAATATGTGAAATTCAGTACAGTCTTTACCAAACTTGAATTGGCCTCATATATAAACAGAGCTGTATCGTGCTGTGTCCCTTTGCTACACCTCCCAACTATCTTTCTCTCTTTGTCACTCCATCTACGAAGCCTATTATTCTCTCCTCTTTAATTGTCTTGTCAGGCATCTTGCGAGCTGTCCCCATGTCTAAGCCTCTCCTTTCTCTGCCGTTGACTCAGCAGTTAAGTGCATTAATTCCTCATCCATCCAACTCATTTGATATTCTGTCAGAAGATACACGTAAATCTATATGTAAACGTGAGATTGCGCCGCGGAGCTTATGAAGGATCACAGCGCCGCAATAATAACTCTACTGATACTTTTTTAACTTGCATGCTCCGCCAGCTCCTCAGCCCCGAAGGCATCATATACATATATTCACCGAGGTCAAACTCACTTGCTCTGTGAGCGGGAAGTCGTGGGTATTTTTTAAGGAAATGTGAGCGCCAGTGGAATGAAATGAATTAAACCCATGGTCATTCAGAAAGAGAGAGGGTCCTTTAACCTGACTGCTTGGAGTGGTCAGAGAGACGGATCAGAGGAAAGTTTGCCTGAAGCTCGCGGGACGTGTTTCTGCCTCTAGATTATTCTATTCTCACAATATTATCTTACTATTATTCTTATTTTCAGTTACTTTAATGTTATTTGTACTGTGCAAGCTACTGTGACAACGCAATTCCCCTGTGGATCAATAAAGTCTGTCTAAGTCTAAGTCATTATTGTCCCACTGACTTTAAAGACTAAAACACCAAATCACCTTTTTTTACTTGAACTGCATAAATATGTCTCTTAATGCAGTGTTCCCCAACCTTTTTGAGCCGTGGCACACATTTGTCAAACCACCGACTGAATTTGATACAACATGGAAACTCTACAGCTTTACTAACAAAGCAAAGTAGTTCTCATTAATGTGAATAATTCAGCAAATCAAACAAGCACAAAAAAAATCTTTGTAATCACCTCCCATTCATTTATTTTCTCATGATTTTGACCAAGCAGCTGATTTTGGATAATTTCCAAGGCACACTAATAAACGTCTCAAGGCACACCAACGTACCACAGACCACTGGTTGAAAAACACTCTCTTATAGTGCTCATGTACTGGTCACTTTTTTTGTCAGTTTTGTGCAAATCTGACTTTTGAGCCTAAAACCATCTGTGTGGCGCCCTCTCTACATTTTCGGTGGAACTACATTTGATTTTGGTGCCTGGCCTCTCCATTGGCTCTGGAGTGTGACGTCACTCTGAGCCTGCGGTATAAAAGCAGCCAAGTCTCACACACGCCCCAGCAGTGAGTTGGAGTAGTCTGGCGACATCTAGTGGTTTAAAATGTAATTACATTAGTTCAGAGAGTGTTGTATTTAGTTGTGGGTGACGTCAAGAGTTCGCATCGGGAAGGTCGTAGTTTGGCGAAGAATGCGATAGTAAAGTAATCCGGTCTGGTTCTATCAAGAAATTTAATCCGGAGCAAGAGGAATGTTTAGCAAATGTAATCTCTGGAAATATTATGGCGCTACTCCCCACAGGCTCTGTTAGTGGCAAAGGAGATGGCTAAAGCTAGGCTAAATGCTAACGACAGACTCAGGCGCACTACAGACGTCATGGTAAACTCAGATCCAATCGTTTCAATTTGCAAAAAGAGTTAACTCCTCCCACCTTGGTGCGAAATGTACACACATATCTGCAGCTGTATACACATTAACCTGCAGCTGTGTACACATATACTGTATCAGCAGCTTTGTACACATACTGTATATCTGCAGCTGTGTACACATACTGTATATCTGCAGCTGTGTACACATATATCAGCAGCTGTGTACACATACTGTATATCTGCAGCTGTGTACACATACTGTATATCTGCAGCTGTGTACACATATATCAGCAGCTTTGTACACATACTGTATATCTGCAGCTGTGTACACATACTGTATATCTGCAGCTGTGTACACATATCAGCAGCTGTGTACACATACTGTATATCTGCAGCTGTGTACACATACTGTATATCTGCAGCTGTGTACACATATGAGCAGCTGTGTACACATACTGTATATCAGCAGCTGTGTACACATATATCAGCAGCTGTGTACACATACTGTATATCTGCAGCTGTGTACACATATACCTGCAGCTGTGGCCTCGGAGCAGTAAGTGTGGTTTGTTAGCGTAGCACCCCACCCCTCTGTGCTCCTACGGTCGGGTAAAGGGCTGACCACACCGCCGGGGCTGCTGGGAGATTGACCACACCGCCAGGCCTTCTGGGAGTTGTGGTTCTCACTCTGCCGCTCACACTCAGACTTACAGCTCACTGAGTGGAAACCCGACATAGATTATTGAAGGAAACCGCAAATTAGTTGCTCTGCCTTCACACTCGCTTCTCCCACGGGAAAGGAGCGTGCACGAGCAGAAGGGCAGGAAACAGCCATGCAGAGATTTTTCCATCAAATATAAACAATATGTCTGTAAACCTGGCCTGGTCTTACTATACCATGGTACTCATTTCATTTGGTTTAGAGGTCTGGATTGTCTCCATTGACTCCGTTAACAGGTGGGAGGGGCTAACTCCTTTTGCAGATTGAAACCATTGGATCTGAGTTTACTGTGACGTATGTAATGAGCCCGAGTGAGTGAGGCATTTAGCCTAGCTTTAGCATTTAGCCTAGCTTTAACCTTTAGCCTAGCTTTAGCATTTAGCCTAGCTTTAGCCATCTCCTTTGCCGCTAACGGAGCCCGTGGGGAGTAGAGCCACAACATCTTTGCTTCAACTACATTTACTAAACATTCCTCTTGCTCCGGCTTCAGTTTCTTGATATTTGGATTGAACCAGAACAGATTATTTTACTATCGCATTCTCCGACAAACTACAACCAGAAAATTCAGCACAAACTCTTGACGTCACCGACACCGACCTACAACACCCGCCTCCCCCGCTCTCTGATTGGTCGGAGGGGATTCAACCGAGGAAACTGCAGCCACTAGGATCAGACCCAGACGTACATGTAGGAAATGACCATGGACCAGAGTTTACACATGGTAAGACCAGACGTACATGTAGGAAATGACCATGGACCAGAGTTTACACATGGTAAGACCAGACGTACATGTAGGAAATGACCATGGACCAGAGTTTACACATGGTAAGACCAGACGTACATGTAGGAAATGACCATGGACCAGAGTTTACACATGGTAAGACCAGACGTACATGTAGGAAATGACCATGGACCAGAGTTTACACATGGTAAGACCAGACGTACATGTAGGAGATGATCATGGACCAGAGTTTACACATGGTAAGACCAGACGTACATGTAGGAAATGACCATGGACCAGAGTTTACACATGGTAAGACCAGACGTACATGTAGGAGATGATCATGGACCAGAGTTTACACATGGTAAGACCAGACGTACATGTAGGAAATGATCATGGACCAGAGTTTACACATGGTAAGACCAGACGTACATGTAGGAAATGATCATGGACCAGAGTTTACACATGGTAAGACCAGACGTACATGTAGGAGATGATCATGGACCAGAGTTTACACATGGTAAGACCAGACGTACATGTAGGAAATGATCATGGACCAGAGTTTACACATGGTAAGACCAGACGTACATGTAGGAAATGACATGGACCAGAGTTTACACATGGTAAGACCAGACGTACATGTAGGAATGATCATGGACCAGAGTTTACACATGGTAAGACCAGACGTACATGTAGGAGATGATCATGGACCAGAGTTTACACATGGTAAGACCAGACGTACATGTAGGAGATGATCATGGACCAGAGTTTACACATGGTAAGACCAGACGTACATGTAGGAGATGACCATGGACCAGAGTTTACACATGGTAAGACCAGACGTACATGTAGGAAATGATCATGGACCAGAGTTTACACATGGTAAGACCAGACGTACATGTAGGAAATGACCATGGACCAGAGTTTACACATGGTAAGACCAGACGTACATGTAGGAAATGATCATGGACCAGAGTTTACACATGGTAAGACCAGACGTACATGTAGGAGATGATCATGGACCAGAGTTTACACATGGTAAGACCAGACGTACATGTAGGAGATGATCATGGACCAGAGTTTACACATGGTAAGACCAGACGTACATGTAGGAAATGATCATGGACCAGAGTTTACACATGGTAAGACCAGACGTACATGTAGGAAATGACCATGGACCAGAGTTTACACATGGTAAGACCAGACGTACATGTAGGAAATGACCATGGACCAGAGTTTACACATGGTAAGACCAGACGTACATGTAGGAAATGATCATGGACCAGAGTTTACACATGGTAAGACCAGACGTACATGTAGGAGATGACCATGGACCAGAGTTTACACATGGTAAGACCAGACGTACATGTAGGAGATGACCATGGACCAGAGTTTACACATGGTAAGACCAGACGTACATGTAGGAAATGATCATGGACCAGAGTTTACACATGGTAAGACCAGACGTACATGTAGGAAATGATCATGGACCAGAGTTTACACATGGTAAGACCAGACGTACATGTAGGAGATGATCATGGACCAGAGTTTACACATGGTAAGACCAGACGTACATGTAGGAAATGACCATGGACCAGAGTTTACACATGGTAAGACCAGACGTACATGTAGGAATCCATGGACCAGAGTTTACACATGGTAAGACCAGACGTACATGTAGGAAATGATCATGGACCAGAGTTTACACATGGTAAGACCAGACGTACATGTAGGAAATGACCATGGATCAGAGTTTACACATGGTAAGACCAGACGTACATGTAGGAAATGACCATGGACCAGAGTTTACACATGGTAAGACCAGACGTACATGTAGGAAATGATCATGGACCAGAGTTTACACATGGTAAGACCAGACGTACATGTAGGAAATGACCATGGACCAGAGTTTACACATGGTAAGACCAGACGTACATGTAGGAGATGATCATGGACCAGAGTTTACACATGGTAAGACCAGACGTACATGTAGGAAATGACCATGGATCAGAGTTTACACATGGTAAGACCAGACGTACATGTAGGAAATGATCATGGACCAGAGTTTACACATGGTAAGACCAGACGTACATGTAGGAAATGATCATGGACCAGAGTTTACACATGGTAAGACCAGACGTACATGTAGGAAATGATCATGGACCAGAGTTTACATATGGTAAGACCAGACGTACATGTAGGAAATGACCATGGACCAGAGTTTACACAATGGTAAGACCAGACGTACATGTAGGAGATGACCATGGACCAGAGTTTACACATGGTAAGACCAGACGTACATGTAGGAAATGACCATGGACCAGAGTTTACACATGGTAAGACCAGACGTACATGTAGGAAATGACCATGGACCAGAGTTTACATATGGTAAGACCAGACGTACATGTAGGAAATGACCATGGACCAGAGTTTACACATGGTAAGACCAGACGTACATGTAGGAAATGACCATGGACCAGAGTTTACACATGGTAAGACCAGACGTACATGTAGGAAATGACCATGGACCAGAGTTTACACATGGTACGACCAGACGTACATGTAGGAAATGACCATGGACCAGAGTTTACACATGGTAAGACCAGACGTACATGTAGGAAATGACCATGGACCAGAGTTTACACATGGTAAGACCAGATGTACATGTAGGAAATGACCATGGACCAGAGTTTACACATGGTAAGACCAGACGTACATGTAGGAAATGATCATGGACCAGAGTTTACACATGGTAAGACCAGACGTACATGTAGGAAATGATCATGGACCAGAGTTTACATATGGTAAGACCAGACGTACATGTAGGAAATGATCATGGACCAGAGTTTACACATGGTAAGACCAGACGTACATGTAGGAAATGACCATGGATCAGAGTTTACACATGGTAAGACCAGACGTACATGTAGGAAATGATCATGGACCAGAGTTTACACATGGTAAGACCAGACGTACATGTAGGAAATGATCATGGACCAGAGTTTACACATGGTAAGACCAGACGTACATGTAGGAAATGATCATGGACCAGAGTTTACACATGGTAAGACCAGACGTACATGTAGGAAATGATCATGGACCAGAGTTTACATATGGTAAGACCAGACGTACATGTAGGAAATGACCATGGACCAGAGTTTACACATGGTAAGACCAGACGTACATGTAGGAAATGACCATGGACCAGAGTTTACACATGGTAAGACCAGACGTACATGTAGGAAATGACCATGGACCAGAGTTTACACATGGTACGACCAGACGTACATGTAGGAAATGACCATGGACCAGAGTTTACACATGGTAAGACCAGACGTACATGTAGGAAATGACCATGGACCAGAGTTTACACATGGTAAGACCAGATGTACATGTAGGAAATGACCATGGACCAGAGTTTACACATGGTAAGACCAGACGTACATGTAGGAAATGATCATGGACCAGAGTTTACACATGGTAAGACCAGACGTACATGTAGGAAATGATCATGGACCAGAGTTTACATATGGTAAGACCAGACGTACATGTAGGAAATGACCATGGACCAGAGTTTACACATGGTAAGACCAGACGTAGATGTAGGAAATGACCATGGACCAGAGTTTACACATGGTAAGACCAGACGTACATGTAGGAAATGACCATGGACCAGAGTTTACACATGGTAAGACCAGACGTACATGTAGGAAATGACCATGGACCGTCCAATCAGCCCTCAGTACCAGTAGATTGGCCTTCAGAAAACCCAAACATGTAGTGAAAAAAAAACAGCCTCGTGCATATTGTTGTTAGAGTTTAACTTTAACCACAGCTGCTTCAAAGTGTTATAAAAAAAGGAAAAAGCCACAGCCATGTTTTCCCGCACTGAATCACCGCTGCTTTTTATTGAATTGAACAACTTGAGCCTTTAAGACGGACACAGTTGATTCCGTACGATTCCATGCAGAACCGCTGTGAGCACATTTTCTACTGCAATCCTCTTTTGTTGAATACCAAAGAAATGTTGGAGTGAATCACCGCGGCCTATGCTCTGGCGAACATGCTAGCCTCTTCTGACACACGTCCGCATATTTGGCTCACTTCCTGG